CCAGTTACTATGTGCCATCTGAAAAGGGGGTGCTGCCTGTGTGGAATTGAGTCCTCTGGTCTTTGTAGGACAAAGTGATAAGTCTTTGAGCTTCTGTCTTCCACCTGGTGGCCCGAAGCCTGGGACCATCCTTCCGGCAGCTTGAGTTAGTTTGGGGTGGGGTTAGGAGCCTACATAGTGGAGGACCCCTGGGACAGCTCCCTGAACAAAGACAATTTGTTTCCATTTTGTCTCTGAAGCAATTTGACAGATCAGTGACGTCCTGCCTATAGCCCCTTACTACTAAGCCTGAGCTAGGCCAAGTGCCACATGGTCAGCCGGGATTGAGCCTCAAGAACAAAGAGGTGGTGATGTTCTGGGGCAAAAAAAGTGGGACATAAGAGCTGAAGCAGCTGAGCCTAAACTTAAGACCCTCCTTCAAGCTGTGTCATGTAGATTCCTCCAAGCTCAGAGGCAACCTCTTACTGGAACCCAGTACTCTTACTCTGCATATTGCAGAGTGTTTCCTACCTAGCCCAACTCAGTACTCATGAACTTCCCATCATTCTCAGTCATTCTACTCTTGATGAATCAGTAAAACATGGGTTTGACCCTTGGTCATGCCTTCGTCCTGATTAACCATTGTTCTGGTTGGACTTAGAATCCCCTGGGCTCCCCACAACTGCAGACATTTGTCTCATTGTTCTCTCCATGGGTCACACTGGCAGTGGGAGATTGGAATTTACTCACTAGAATTCCAATGACCTTTCCCTGGGATTACAAATATAAGCTCCATACTGCAGTGAGGTCTGGATGGCTTCCTATACTACATTTTCAGTAAGAAAGAGAACCCTTTGAATTTACTACAAGTGTCAGAGAATTGCCTGGATTGGGTTGGAAGCTGGTTCAAATTAGTAAGGCCTCTTCCGATCCAAAATGTTTTCAATTTTATGACCCTCCCCTCCAGCTAGCTCTTTAACACCATGATGTAAGCCGGGTAGTTCTCCCAGCTGAGAAGGAACCCAGCCTCACTGAGCCCCAGAAAGGAGGGCTTCTCCCTACCATCACCTGCACCATCCATGCTGTTGTGGTTTAGATCTAGAATGTCCCCCAAATCACTTGTGTTCAGAGGTGGGGCTCATGGAAGGTGATGGACCTTGGGGTGCTGTGTCCACTACTGGACATGTCCATGGGTGAGCTTCTAACTGAGTGTGCTTCTGGGAGGTGGGTCCTGGTCAGAGGAGGTTGGCTCTGGGAGATGATCTGGAGGACTGTGTTGGTATCTTTGCTTCTTCCTTTTTCTCTGCTTATAACAGCCCTGGAATGAGCAGCTGTCCTCCTGCATGCCCTTCCACCACACCAAGTCTCCCCATGGTGCCAGCTCGCCATGAACTGAACCTTCTGCAACTGTGAGCCAAAATGAACACCTCCTTCTCCAAGATGTGCTGCCAAGGATTTTGTCTCAGCAATTGGAAAGTGACTAAGACACACACTGACTGGCTATGCACAGAACACAGACAACAAGCTCCCAGTGGAGCAGAGGAGCCGGTCCTGAAGAGCTAAGCCCAGGTTACTCAGTGCCCCTGCAGTCCAGACATGGGTGGAAGTGTCTCTGGGGGCTCCCACTTCTGCCAGGACAGCTCTTTGGGAGCTTTGTTTCTGCCACCTGCCTCTCCCTGTCCATCGTCCCCATCCCTAGTCCTTGGCTTCCACCTAAGACTAGGCCATGCCACCCTCCTGCCCCTTCTCAGGGTGGTGGCTGCCAGGGAGCAGCAATTCACAATGCGAAAGTGTGTCAATCCAAGTGTGAGCTTGGCTTAGAATGAATGGATTTCTGTTGAGGTAGGGTAGCAGAAATAATGAGAGGTAAAAGGAATATCAGAATTTTGAAATTACACTTCTGGGCAAAACTACAGCTTCAGGACACAAAAGGGACTCAAATCCCTTTCCCTTCCCAGGAATCTCACTTAAAGAGAAAACTTCCTGAGGGTCTTAAGGATACAGTGAGCCTGTAACTTGGGCTCTGGGCCATGCTTCCATGTTTCCTCCTTCCCACAGACTCCGCGCTCTGGAAGCAGCAACAGGAGCGGCAGCGGATCACAGCTTCACACACAGGGAAAGGGTCTGTGCTGTGACACGGCTGCCAGGTGGGGTAGGTGACAGGCAGCAGGACACACACCCCAGATCGCTCACCTTGAAGACACCCCAAGCCCCATAAATGCACCTGGCTCCAAATCCTAAGACGCTCCCCTCGCTCAAGGGCCCAAACTCTTTGAGTGTGTACTTTAAGTTTCTTCCTAATAAATCCCTTAATGCTGCTTAATGGCGCATACTGAAAACCCTTCTTTGCAATGGGAGCCATTGAGCTGAAGCCTAGGGTAGTGTGGGCTTCGGATCTTCCTCGAACCCGGTCTTGGGACTGCATCTGTGTGTGTGTGTGTGTGTGTGTGTGTGTGTGTCCCTCATCCTGGCCCTGCACAGTGTGTATCACCTTGTCCTGGGCCCTTGAGCACCATGTTGGGCTAATGCTGGGCTTTCTCCTGGCAGCACTGCACTGGAGAGTGACTTTGGTCTCTTTTATGGCTGGGTAAAGTCTGGCGATGCTAGACACAACTCATTGGAGGCTGCTATCCCTACTGGAGGACGGGACGTGACAGCTTTCACTTCTGTTTGTGTGAAAAGGCAAAAGTGGAAAATCCCCAGGGAAGCCATGCAGAAAAAATTGTGAAATTAACAACGAGAGGAAAAGGCCTCTCTGTGCACTAAGATACACACAGATTGTGTGTAAATACACTCACAGTTAACACATGCACACACACATACCTTTTATTGTGCGTGTGTGGAAGAGAGATCAGTGGAGACATCCAGGTAGGAAAAAATTGCTAACCTTTGGGTTTTTTTTTTTTTTTAAACACAGGAGTTCAGTACAAGAGAAAGCACGTTAAAGTGACAGTTGTGAACAATTCCAAATTATACGAAGCTCTGCTTGCCAGGGGGCTATACATGGGTCCTTCCGCTGGGCCCATGGATGCTGGGCTCCTCATGGACAGCATGAGACAGGCAGTGGAGCAGAAGGAGAGGGTCCAGGTTCACCCACACTGTGGTGCACTTTCTGTAGGGGACAAATAGGGCAAACTATGTGATTTCATGGGGCAATTTGAGGTTTAAAGCATGCTGTCTCTCCTGGCTTCACTTCCTGCAAACTGTGCTTTACAGAAGCATTCGTGTGTTATAGTAGTAAAAGCTCCAAGAAATGGTGAATGTAACATCACAGCACAGACTCATCTCGTACTTTTATATTGTGGGTTTAATTAAACTACAAGTAACCTCTTTCTGCTTATTCTTGTAGTGCCAAGCAAATGGATTTTCTTGGCTAGCATCATTTTAAATCTATTCTTCTAAAAGTTTTTATTTTGATTAGTGCATCTCTGTGAGGGAGATGGTGAATGTACAAAATGCCTCTGAATTCTTTCTATAGCCTCTCCCCCCTCTGTCCATCTTGTGGTTATATATATTTTTTAATTAAAACTCTGTTTCAGTCATGTAAAAAAAAAACACCTCTGTTTCATAGCCCCATGTTGCAGCGGCCTATGCTCATCTGTAGGGAGCCCAGATTTTCTATAAAGGCTTCTGCCTTCTGGGGAAACCCACTGTGTCAGATTCTCAAGTCTGTGCTGATTTTGAGCCTCTTTTTATGGTCTTGTCATGGCTTTAGCTGTGCCAACGCAGCAGTTAATCTGTTGGGAGACTCATCTCCATGGAGCCAGGGACATAGCAACACCCCTCAGGCACTAGGTAGCGTGTCCCTTGGATGAGCCACCCTCCTCTGAGCCTTGGAGCTAAGCTAGGCCATGTTATCCAGCCAGATGTTTTCTCAAGAACACTAATGAGGCTTTCTTCATCTTGTATTATCCGAGCTTCACCTTTTGACACCAAGCCATCCCCAGCCAAAGCCTCATGGGCTGGAAGTGATTTAATATGAAATTTGAAACTATAACAAGGTGGCTGTTGAGATAAAGATCACCTACAATCCTACCACCTCGTAAAATCTTTCCCTTCCCTTCCCTTCCCTTCTCCAGACCCTTCCTGGGTCTCCAGCTTCCATGCAGTCCTGCACAGCTGACATCTCCGTGGAGTTGGAATGACGCAAGCCTGTCTGCATCTTAAATTATGAGCTTGCCTTTTTTTAAAAAATGTATTTGGTACAGGGTCTCGCTCACTATGCAGCTTGGACTTGTAGTGATCCTCCTGTTTCAGCCTCCCTAGCGCTGGGATTACAGGCGCACGCCACCACGTCCAATCTCTAGCTTGCTTTTCTAAAGCTGTTGGAAGATCTCTGCAGTGAGTGTTTCCCCACCTGAGTTGTACCACGTGCTGATGTTCTGCAGGAGTTGATTCCTCTCTCCCTGAGCTTACTTCATCTATAATTTTCTTCTTCAAGTCTTGGAAAAGTGGAGAGGGTATCTGGGAATCCAGCCTCCACCAGCCCCAGGGGAGGTCCTGGGGCCAGCTGGACCTCACTCCAGTTATGACTTCTGAGCTGCACTGTTGAGCTGTGTGAAGGATGCCTTTCTGAGTCTGATGTACCACTTTGATTTGACCCTGTTTTCTCCTGCCAGGCTGGGATGATAGGGTAAGCAAATACTCTGCACCTGCTGGGGGTGGTGAGATTTGGGTCTGAAGTGCATTTTCTGCGTAACAACGAGATGGTCCCCAGTGATGTGGCCGGGCCATTGGCTGCTCACCTTTCCTCAGGTGTGCCATCTGCTTGGAGCAAGAATAGGCTGTGTGTGACATGCGGATGCCCCGGGGGAAATGTCCTCAGCAGTGGCCGTCGCTAACGAGCAGGCATAAGGGACTGCTCCAGCGAGCGCTCTCTCCTGAAGCCATTGCCGCTGCCTGCATCACGGAGGACAGAAGGGCCTTTTTCCAAGCCTGGTCAGCTCAGGTCTCTGCTGAGGACTCAGGCTGCTGAGGTGGAGGCTCAAGCCCTGTGCTACCACTGCCTCCGCCGTGGGACTATGCCTGGCATGCTGGGGCTGGCCCTGCTGGCTTTGGCCAGCACCAGCACCATTGGCTTGAGCTGGGCCAGCGGCTTCACAGGTGAGGGAGCAGGGCTCACCCCAGGCCATTCTTGGGAGGGCTTACTGGGAAGGGGTCTCACAAGGACAGCATCTTCAGGGATGTGGACAGGCAAGGATGTTCCTGCTCCTGGGCAGCACAGCCACATGCAGCGGCAGGCTGTGAGGTGGGCAGGAGACTGGCTGTGTGCACTCTCCAAAGGAAGCTCCTCACTTCCTGTGAGCACCCTTGTACCTCTGGGGGCTGGAATGGGGGGATAAAATGCAGATTTCCATGTAGCAGGTCGGGGAGGGGCCTGGGACTGCATTTCTGCAGCCATGTGCTATAGCCAGTGATTGGCTGTGCAGCAAACAGTGAACTCTTGGAGATCCTGAGGGCTGATTGCCTGAACTGTAGGGCACTGGTGTCCTCAAGGATCTCAGGGGGACCAAGGTGGCTGAGACTGGCTAATGCCACACAGTTCCTGAGCAAAGAACCCCTACCCCAGCACCTGGGAGCACTCAAAATGCCAGGTGGCGTATGGTCAGCGGAATGGCCATTAAAACCACAGAGGGCAAGTGAGGGTCAGCTCGGAGGAACAGTACTTGCTGCAAATGCATGAGGCCCAGCGCACACCCCCACTGCAAGTCAAACCACTCTTCCCTCTACTCCCCATACTGGTGGATTCCTGAAACCCCACACTGAGGAATTGAGGTAGCAAAGCTTAGAAACCACTTTCCCGTTGCAATCTCCATCATTCAGATGGGAATTTAAAGAGATCCTAAAGGCAACTAACTTTCTTTTCAGACTAGTTCAATAATTTTCCCACTAGAGTAGGATTTTATTTGTGTCATGAGTTTTTTGAGTGGCACTGTCACTGGAGGAGGGAGGTATGAGCTGGGCAGCTCCATGCCAAGGGAGTGGGAATGGTGGGGATCAGTGCAGCTCCCGGAAGGGTCTCCCAAGCTACTCGTGGGCACTAAGGGTATGCACTGTGTTCCCCAGGGCTGTACCCCACTCCTTCTGGTTCTGGGCTGAAATCCTGATAGAATTTTCATCGAGCACATGGACTGACCCACAGGCAAGGCTCCCTGATTCTTCTACAAGTTGGCATAGGAACTATTTCACCAGGGACATGGCTGGGGCCTGGCTCAGAGGGCATGACTCATCCCTGGGGACTGCTGCACCCCTGCTTTTCCTGTGGGGTCAGCTGGGCCTCCATTGTGGGAGCAACTTGTGGCCTGTTCTCACCAAAGGGTTGTCCCAACATGCTCTGGGGAAGGACTGAAGGCCTTCAAGAGGCTGGTGGGGCATTGCTGAACGCCAGAGCCCATGCTGGCTTGGCCTCTGGGACCAGAACCCAGGACCAGCGGCGCCTGTGGCAACAGCTCTGTATGCCTCTGTGGCTCAGCAGGATCTGCTAGAAGGTTTCTGCCTGGGTTTGGGGCTGCCATCTGGCCTTGGTAGAAGGTAAAAACAAAACAAGCAGACACATCCCAGCTTCCCTGGAGAGGTGGAGGGCGTGCTGTTCACATGCAAGCAGGAGGCTCTCTGGTGCTCGCTGGGGCACTGTAATGATCAGAGGGAGCCAGGAGGATCCCGGGAGGCCTGAGTTTGTGACCTTCATCAACATGGTTGAGACCTCTGCCTGGGCCAGGTGGAAGCATCTAGATCTTCCTCCCTAGGCTCCTGCTGCAGAATGCCTGTGGATCTGCCAAGGTCAGTGCGGTCCTAAATCACTGCCTCATTCCTTCTGTTCTTTCTGCCACCTTCACTGGGTCATGACTGGGCTTCTGTCATGCCCCTTGGGACCGGACCCAACTTTTCTCTAGATTGTGCCACAAGTATCTTTTCTGGAGGTGAGCAATAGGCAGCCACACCTCAGTGACCCAGCTGTTCCCTTGTGTGGCTAGGACAGAGGTTGCCCTGGTGATGGTGGCTGGTGAGAGGTTCACCCTGGGTAGTCTAGGACTCAGCACTAGTGTTGACCCATAGTAGCCCACTATGTAGCCCAGGCTGGCCTTGAGCTCAAGATGATCCTCCTGCTTCAGGCTCCCAAGTACTGGGATGACAGGTGCACACCACCATGCCCAGTTTCTTTAAAATTTTGAGAAAGGGTTTCACTGAGTTGGTAAGTTGCCCATGAAGGGCTCAAACTTGCAATCCCCTGCTTCAGTCTCCTGAAGTACTAGGTTATGGGCGTGCACCACCATTGGCCTCAGCAGTTTTGTTTTTCAGTCTTTAACATGTCTTGGCTTGTGGGGGAACCAATGTGATTGCTGCTTTCATCTCCATTTTCCCTTTGTGTGGCTGCCCATCTCCAGATTCCCATTTTAAAAAGGAAACCAATGACGTTGCATCAGGCTCACACCTCTGACCTTGTTTTAACATGGTGACCTCTGTGGACCTGAGGACCTAGGGTCACATTCTGAGCTGAACCCAGCATCTTCTGAAGGAATGCAATTCTAGAAGTTTCTGTGACATAAGGTGACAGAGACACACTGGCAGTGGGGGACAGCACAGGACTAAGAGGTGTAGAGATGGGGCTGAGGTTCCCCAACAGAGTGACCACATAGATGAGGGACTGGGGAGGTCCATCCCAGAACCCAGGCTCTAGGCAGGAGATATCTAGGGCCTGGGAGAAGTCTGATGCTTATCTTACAGCACAGCAGGAATGACCATGCATTCCTTCAACCAAGGACAGTGGTCAAGACAAAGCAACTTTTATTATCTGCAGTATATAGGATGTGCCCACAAATATGATGTGTGTTTAAGTAAACAAAGAATTATTACAGTAATCACACATTGACATGAGCCCCCCTGAGAATCTTCCCCCTCACTTGGAACACATTCGTCCCATCATCCTTGCCACTTCCTGCAGCAGTTCTAGAGTTATCTTTCCTGAGCATCTTCAGTTGCACTGTCCTACCTGCCTCAATGTCCTGAATCAGTTCCTAATGTCTCACTGTCATGGTCATTTTGACTTTGGGGAAGAGCCAGAAGCCACACAGTGTCAGATCCAGTGAAAAAAGTTGGCTGAGGACACAGTATCAAGTGCTTATGAGCCTGTCTTTTGATGGATGGTATTTTTTTTTAATGGATGGTATTTTTTTTTAACAGACCTCATAAAGACCCTCAGGAAAGAGACCCCCAGAGCTGCTGCAAAAAGTAGTCAAGATGATAGAATGAGTATGCATGGTTGGGTGGGGGGCTGGAGGGCATCCATGTCTATTACTATAATAAATTTTTAATTTATGCATTCACACTATGTTCAGATTACTGTTTGTAGGTGACAGGTTCCTTTCCTGTGCTTTGAATATTTGTCTACCTTCCCCTCCTTCCCTAAATGCTGTTACTGGTGCCCTTCGGAGCCTGCAGTGGGCCTTCAGGAGGAGTTGGTTGAGGAAGTGGGTGCATATTCATTCCTGTGTGGCTGCCCAGGCTCTGGGGAACAGAGAGGGGCAAGACAAATGAACCTACAGCTCAGAGCATCCAAGCCTCAGAGTAGAAAACAGGGACCCTGTCTTTATTTCAATTCTGGATCCTCTCTTTGGGGTCTTCATTGTCAGAGCCTGGGCCATGGGAAGAGGGATTGGGCCTACAGGCAGCTCCTGACTTCAGAAGGGCCTTTCTGAGGTAGGCTGGTCCACATGCATGAGAGCATGGCGACACCTGGCAGAGGTGTGGCCGGCTTGGTGGCAGTTCCCAGAGGCCTCTCCAAGCCCAGAGGGTTTGTTTCTCAGCCCTTGGGAAAGGAGGCTCACCCTTTGTGACTGCCCTGAGTCTGACCTCCACTCTCCTCTGGTCCCCAGAAACTGGTCTCTCCTTGCTGAGCTACCAGCTGTGCAGCTACCAGGAGACCCGGACAGTAAAGCGAGTGGAAGTAGTGCAGAAGTCCCACGTGACTGACGTGGCTTGTGGTGGCTGGGTTCTGTGGCGGCAGTGCCCGAAGACTGTCTACACGACCCAGTACTTGACTGTGGAGGTGCCCGAGTCCAAGAACGTCACCAACTGCTGCGAGGGCTACGAGCAGCTGGGCCTGTACTGCGTCCTGCGTGAGTCCAGGGTGGGGTTGGGGAGGGAAGTGTCAGGGGTGGGTCAGGAGTGGGGAACATGAGTTAGGCTTTCCATAACACTCCAGTGTGACCCCATGCAGTTGGTTACACCCCACGCTGAGATCCCTGTCATTCTGGGATTTAACTGTAGGTCCAGAGCCCCAGGGCAGCTCTGAACTTGTAGGTGCCTGGCCCAGCCTATGCTGGAGTTGGTCTGGGCAGAGCTGGGGCCCTGGTGACCCTGGAAATCTTCCACAGGGATCTGAACATGCAGGGGTGGAGACCAGCACTGCCAGCTCTTTGGTAGCAACACTTTTTTCCTCTTTCTCCTCCTCCTCCTCCTATTCTCTTGTTTTTGTGGGGCTAGGACAAAGCCCCAAGCTTTTCTGCTGTGCAACACCTTCAGCACTTTTTAAATTTTTTTAAAGTTAGAAACAGGGTCTAGCTGGGTTTGAACTTGCAATCCTCCTGCCTCAATCTCCCAGGAGTGCTGAGATGACAGGTGTGCCCCACTCCTAACCCCTGCCGCAGTCTGGCTGCCTCTTCTTAAAGGCTCTAGTGATGTGCAGGTCTCAGCTGGGATCCCAACAACATGAATCCAGCAAAGACAGAAGGGGCCCCAGACCCTGACCTCCTGCAAACTCAGCAGTCTGAAGCAGCCATATAAGGGCAGGGCCTGGTTACCAGGGCAACCGGCCTTTGTAATGAAGAAGGCCCAGGGATAACCTCTTCCAGGCCGGCTCTGTGAAAGAGTGTGTGTGGGTGGTGCTTTGTCACTCTGAGTCAGTTCCAGATCAAATCAACCTCGCATAGTCAGAAAGTCCTGCTTCCCACCGTACGGGGAAGGACAGGAGGGGGTGAGGTTAGTGTCAGCTGGGGCCATCCTGCAATGGGAGGCCACCACCCAGGCTGTGGGATCCTCCTTGGTGATCCATCCTCATGGCTGGGAGTCAAGGTGCCCCGTGCTAGGGCTGCAGGGGAACAGCCTGTGCCACGGCCCACAGGTCACAGAGCCTTAGATGAGTGCAGACCTGCAGGAGGCCAGTGGGCCAGGATGGCTGCACCCTCCCAAGTGTGCTCTCTGCTGTGCCCCATGCGATGCCACTGAGATTGGAAAACCCTGCTTTCCCACAGCATGGGGGAGCCCCAGTAGTGTGGGCAAGCAGTTAACATGGTGATAAAGGTCACCAAATTCCCATCCCTGGCACCACCTCCACAGGAGTGGGTAGGATGGCTGACCTCAAACATTGGCCGTTATATGTCCCTGTTATCTCCTAAATGGGGTGTAAGGATAGGCTGTGTCCTCCCAGGTGCTGGATCCCAAGAGTCCATCTCTGTCGAGACTTCTGTCCTCTTCTCACCACCTCTGTCCCTAGGCTGTGGGTACCTAGGGGCTGGCCGGCAGCAAACAATCATGGACTATCGTGGGAGGGATTAGCTGTCCCACCTCCAGGGACCTCTCCTGTGGCACACTGGTGTGGGCTTTGCACCCAGAGCCTGGCAGAGCAGGGTGCCACTCCCCACCTGCCCTCCTCCTTTGTACTCCTAGGACTTCCACCCATCGTACTGTTAGCATATTTGGGTAGGGCAGCTGAGTGAGGACCTTCATTAGAGTCCTAGGTGGTGGGGGACTAAGGCCTGAGCTACAGGTGACTGTCTGTCAAAGACCAGGTGGAACTATGCCAGTACAGTACAGGATCCCTTGGGAATCTGGGGCCGGGGCAGTCTCATAGTGGGGAGACAGACAGAAACCTAGCAGGAGTGTGGGAGGGAGAGGAGTGGAGGCTGGACCTCCTGTGAGAGTCTGCTCCTGTGCAAACACCTGCAGCTCAGCCTTTGGGGATGCAGCCTGAGGGGGCCATGACATGGCCCAGAGGGCAGTCCAGGTGGGCCAGTAGGGCACTCGGCCTGGGGATCTAAAGCCGGGTCTCCAAACTGCAGGTTGAGAGGTGAGAACCTGAGGAAGGTGTGGACAATGGTGGCTGGGGGTGTGTGAGGGCATTGAGGGTCCTCAGTTTGTCCTTCAGGAAAGCCCCTATGTGTGTAGAGCCATGTGGCTCCCAGCCTCTTCTACAGCCCAGTGTGAGCCCCTGGGCTCTGGGGTAGGAGACCATCCTGATGGATGGAGAAGCCAGGTCTTCATGTGACCTGATGTCCCAGGACACCCTGGGAGCAGCAGTGGGCTCACCAGTAGCCATATCTTGGGGGGCAGGTGGCTGCTCTGCAGGCATTTCAGACTCCTCTGCAGGGGAGTATTTACACCCTGGGTATGGCCAGCACGCTGCCCCCCATCAGCATCACTTTTTGGTCAGAGTGTGCGTGGACTTCCATGCACAAGAGTCACTGGTGACAGCTGGGCCACTCAGAGCTAGGGATTCCACCACTCTGCACAGAACAGCTAAGCACGGTGGCTCTGGTTAAGAATGAGGCAAAGCCAGAACTGGGTCCAGCACAAGTAGGGGAGGATAGAGAGAGGGCCAGAGACACGCTCTGCTCATGCCAGGGCCTCCACTTAGCTGAGGGTGGGTGACACGTAACTCAGCCACCTGGTGCCTGCTGCTCAGACCCTTGTCCCCAGGCAGTCATGAATTCAAGCTTCCTCCACCTCTCCTCCACCTGACCAGCAGGGCAGGAATCCATGAACCCATATGCAACACCACTTCCATGGGTATGAGTCCAGCCTCAGAACATACCAACAAGCCACATGAGTTAGTGAAACTGTAAAATAGAATTACAGAAGTGAATGCATAAACCAGACAGTGAGGAAACACAGACATAAGCGAGGGAAATTGCCCCATAGCCTCCACCTGAGAACAATCCTGGTCAACCTTTTCCCCCCATTCCTCCAATGAAGGGGTGACACCCCAGTCAGGATCCACTTGGCAACCTGCCCAGCTCACCTTTCATGCCAACAAAGGTTCATCCTCCCGGGGATTGGCCAGGCCCAGGGTACCCCCTCAGGTGGATGTACCAGTGCATGGAAGGCAGTTTAGGGAGCATGGCCTGTATTTTCTTTATAATGAAATAAAGCTGTTGGTTTGGAATCATTCTAGACTTAGAGAAAAATGCAAAGATACTATAGCTGGGTGCTTCACTGGGTTTCTCTGGATGTCAACATCTATGCTGCCGGGGAGCATCCTCCACCCAACCCTACTCTGGGCTGTGATGATGATAAGCCCTGCGCTCTGCTCGCAGTTTGCTGTGCCCCCGTGGCCTCTTGCTGTGTCAGGAGCCGTTTCTCCATGTGGTCCTCACACCTGCTTGGCCATGAGGTCCCTGATGTTCAAGTGGAAGATGGAGCTTCTGGCTCCACTTCTGGCTTTTGGGGCCTAGCATCCTGCTTTGTTCTGTGCACAGGACTGATTTTCTTGCCCCAAGGCCACTCTGGCCTGGCCTTTTCTAAGGACCTGGAGGCATTGGTCCCCATAGTCATGTGGACACCAAGGAGGTGAAGCTGAGCTGAGGACCATGGGGAAGGAGGGTGTTACCAGCATGGATCTCCACCTGCAGGACCAGCAGTGAGCAGCAGATAGTGGTGCCAGTCCGCTTCATCCCCTTCTCTCCCTGGGCTGACACAGCCACCCTGAGGCATGTGTCCCCATGGAAACCAGTGTCACTATCCCCTCTTCTGGCTGCAAAACATTCTGTGGAGGCCCCCGGGCCCCTGAGAGGACCATCCTGGGATCACTGCCCCCAAGGCCTCCCTTTCCTGGGCCCTCTAAGACTGCTGCTGGTATGGGGCTCTCAGCTGGCCCTGTCTGAGCTCCCTGATATTCAGGGGTCTTGAGCCATTCCCTAGAATGTCCTCGGTGACACTGGTGGACATAGATTTCTTTTCTTTTCTTTCTTTTCTTTTTTTTTTTTCAGAACCAGGGATTGAACTCAGGCCCTTGCACCAGCCAGGGAAGTGTTTATTCCACTGAGCCACCTCCCTGGCCCCAGGGCCATCTCATCGGCCCCTGGACATAGATTTCAAATGCACTGGGGAAGGATCCAGATGGGTTTGAGCAGCACCCACTGGGCTGGTACTTGCTGCTAAGGTGCTGGGTCCCCTTCCTCCTGCCAATCTATGCCCAGAGAGCTCGCACCCAGCTTCCACCCTCTGGAGCTGAGTTCTTACCTATCCTAAGCTGGCATGCCCATCCAGACTGTGCCAGAGCCTTCTGCCCAGATGCCCTGAGGATGTCCTAGATGCCACCTTTGGCAGCATGGTCTGGGCAGGGTGCATCTCTCAGTGGAGTGAGGCCTGGGCTCTGCCTTTTCCTTTCCTCCTTCAGGGGCTTTTTGTGCCCAGAGCCCCAGCACCTGGCCAGTCCCCTTGTGCGTTTTGTGACTCTCAGATATTTCCTGCCCTTTATTTTTTGGTGTTGTCAAATAGGGTCTGTCTACATAGTTTAAGCTGGTCTTGAACTCACTATGTAGTCCAATCTAGCCTCAAATTTATGGCAATCCTCCTGCCTCAGCCTCTGGAGTGCTGGGATTTCAGGTGTGTGCAACCATGCCTGGCAAGACCTTTCTAAGCCCTCTCTAAACCCTTTTGCTCAGAAGCCTACCATGGCCTCCCCAGTTCCCAGCCCAGGTCCTGGTGGTCTTCAGGGCCACCACCTTCAGGTGTGACTCCAGGGTCTCAGGCCTTGTGTGCCATGGGCCCTGCTTTCCTGGCACTGAATCCAGCTGCATTCACAGAGCTTCCTGAGAACAGCCACGATTGGGCTGCTATGCCTCAGCTGACCCCGCAGTGGATGTCAGGCTGCCAGCAGTGTCCAGCAGCACGCCAGGCTGCTGCCACTACTGCTGTGCACAGCTGGGCTCCTGGTTCTCCCAGGCTGCTTTCTCTCAAGAAGAGCTGGACTGTGGCCTTAAGGACCTGCCCTTCTCTGTATCCTACACCCTAGGCCTGCTGGCCTGTCCTTATGTACCCAAGGTGATGCCCTGGGCTTCCCCACCACCCACCTGGCCATAGGGGCCTCTCCTGGGCAGCTTTCCCTGGCCCCCACCCACCCTGCCTTGTCCCTGGTGCTCCCCAGGCCTAGAGACAGTACCAGCCTGTCACGGGCCTCCAGGATGCCAGGCAGAAGCAAGCCGGTTGTGCCCGTGAGGCTCATCAAGGGCACACATTTTCAATGCCAGCATCGCACATGTCTCATCTCTCCTCAGCGCTGAATCAGACCACACTGTTCACATCAAGACCTGGCGTCTGCCCGACGGCAGCACCAGAGACACCTGTCTCTCCATGCAGCTCAGATGCTGATTGCCCTGGACTTCAGAAATGCTGTCCCCAGTCAGGGGGCCACCACTGCGTGGCCCCTACGCCCCAAGGTAGGGCTACTGTGGGGTGTGGGGAAGGTCTGATGTCATGGGAAGCCCTCAGTGGGTGCAGATAGGTCTGTGTGTCCCCAAATGTCATCTTCGGCCTTCATGGAAATGGAAGGCTCTTGGTGCTCTGGGGTAGGAGACCATCCTGATGGATGGAGAAGCCAGGTCTTCATGTGACCTGATGTCCCAGGACACCCTGGGAGCAGCAGTGGGCTCACCAGTAGCCATATCCTGGGGGGCAGGTGGCTGCTCTGCAGACGTTTCAGACCCTGGTATCCTCCCCATATGACCCACAGGCAAGATCTGGCTAGCCTGGCATGCGTATCTGCTGGTCAGAAGAGTGTTGTGAATGGGGCTGGGCTTGGACCATGCACTGGCCAATGCTCAGAGGGAAGGATGTGGACCACTAGTGTGAGGGCTGCTCTGAGTATACAGTGAGTGTTTACAACAAAAATGTATTACAGTAAAAGGCACTGTCACAAATTCCCCTCAAAATCTTGTCCTTGCTTCCCACACACTCATCTTATTGTCCTGGCCACTTTCTGCAGCAGCTCTGGAGTCGTCTTTCCTGAGTGTCTTTCTAAGTGTGATCAAAACTGCAGCGCATGCTGCTGCGGTGCCACCCAAGAGGAAAGCCGGCTTGTTAAACCGTGATGCTGCCTTCATCCACCTGATTCATCGGATCTGGCACTGTGTGGCTCCTGGCTCTTTCCCCGAGTCAGAATGCCCATGAAAGGGAAATGTCTGAATGTATTCAAGACACAAAGGCAGCTAGGACCTTGAAGCTAAAGACACTGAGGAGAGAGGACCCCGTGCGGCTGCAGAAAGTGGCAAGAATGATGGATGAGGATGTCTGAAGTGAGAGGTACTTGGCTTTGTGTGTGTGTGTGTGTGTGTGTGTGTGTGTGTGTGTGTGTGTGTAACTGGGGATTGAACTTAGGCCCTTGCACTTACCAGGCAAGCGCTTATTCTACTGAGCTATCTCCCCAGCCCGAAGTGAGAAGTATTTGGACAGGATCACTAACAGTATGCCTCTAACTGAAGTATGTTTTTAAAGTTAAGCATTCATCATATATTTGATCATACCCCATATATGTAGATGTGTCACCGATAACATATGAAGTCATGCTAGTACACTATATCATCATAAAGAATGATATAAATAAAACCATGATACTGTGTCTCACTGTTCTAACGTGCAGCTGGCTCTCCACACCCACAGGTTCTAGGTGAACGCGTTGCCATTTTATATAAGGCACGTCAGCCTCTGTAGATGTTGCTGTCCCTAGAGAGTCCTATAGTCTGTCCACTAGACGTATCGTAAAACTATACACATTATATGTACTATATACAGAGTCTGCCAAAAAATGTATGTAGACACACTTCAGGAAAAGAAAACATGTAAATATTTTCATACTAAACTTATGGAGACAGCCTGAGATTCCTACAAGCTACCTTTGGCCTCTGCAGTTACAAGAGGAGCTCACAGTGGTGGCCAGGAGCTTCCAGATACTTCTTAGTACAGTGAGCTGCTGCTTGGGTAGCCCTGGTCACTGAGATTGCTGCAGGTGCTTTTTCAGTTTTTTTCTAAGGGTTGATAGCATAATGGTTTTTTTGGTGATATATGATGTCCTCTAGGAGGTGAGAAGGGTGTCACCATCTGTTGAAAAAACACCCTGCTATTTTTCTTTTCCTGAAGTGTGTATACTTTTTTTTGTGGACTCTGTATTATTAGTATGCATTAGAATAATATATAATCATAAAGCAATAGTATAAATAATATCAAGTATTATTATACTATTATGCATTCACCCTTCTCTAAAACTGTACATTATGAAATATAATATCTAATACATTTTATATGGTATTTTGTAATTGTCACACACAATATTCCATTATGTAGTTTTTAGTATTTTATATATTGTGCTATTTGATTACAATGATAGAAATAATGGACAAGTGTATAGTGACTGTGGACATCCATGTCACATTCCACTGTGACAGGATTACTGGATGAATGACCTCACTGTGGTCAAGGACAGTCCCCTGTTTCATCAGAGACTAGGATCCACATGTTTTAGTAGCCTCAAGAAGAGGGGAGTGAAAGCCCAACCTGGGTACCTTCCATTGCCCATTGCAGGTGTTATGGCCTCCTGCCTCCTGGGCCAGTAGTCTCCCTTGCCTGGTGGCCCCTGGTGACCCTGCCCTATTCCGGTGGCCCCTGTATGCATTTACCTTCCAGATGTGGCTGCCACGGCAGAGGGCCGGCCGATAAGCTGGTACAATGTAACTGTGCGGGTTAAGATGGACTTCGAGGACCTGCGGCGAGTGGACCCTGAGCTGCAGAACCACACACGCCTGCTCTGCTCCCTGGTGGGTGCGACATGGGGCGTGGTCCTCCCAGAGGCTGCTCCAGGGACCCAGAGCACTGTGGGAAGGGGTGTCCCGCAATCAGACCTTTAGTGCCCCACTCTGGACCAACCCAAATGCTTGAAAAACCTCAGCCTCAGGGAGACGCAGGCCATGTGCAGTCAGAGTTACAGCACAGCAGCTGTCGGTGGCTTCTGTGGCCACACTTGGTGTGTGCAGGCCTCAGGACACCAGTGCCTGCCACTCTGAGCTCCTGGAGCCCTTGCATCCCCATGGAATTCTGTTCCACCCTGGACAGGGGTGAGAGGGAGCCCCCAGGCCACATTGTCCACATGCAGCAGCCCCCTTGAGGGGCATTCACAGAGGTCAGCAGCAGCCCCCAGCTGTGACAGCCTCCAAGCATCTCCTCTGTCTCTGGGGCAAGGCTACCTGGCTGAGAGTCACTGATCAGGGAGGTTGCCCACACTTCTTGATGTGCCCAGCCATTTCTAGCCAGGATGTCCTCAACGCCAGCATCAGTGTCAGTCCTGGTACTCTCAGTGTGGCCAGTCAGTCGTCTGCCCTCATGGATCTGCGGCTCCACTGCTCCACCTACATGAGCTTAGCGAGTTCTAGGACCTGGGTGTGGGGGCCTGACCACTGTGAAGGCCCCTGCCTGAGAGGCTCCCTGCTGCTCACCTTTGCCCAGGAGCTTCACTAACTTCTGCCACCCAGAGCAATTTCTGCTCTCAGCTTGTTGAAGAACTGCCCCACTGGTCAGTAAGAACAGTATTCTGGGTTCAAATCCCAGTGTTACCCCTCATCTGCTGTGTGACCTTGGGCTAGTGACCTAAGCTCTCTATTCCTTAGACACTTCTTCCAGTAAGTAAAATCATCATAATCCTGCCCAAGACACGGCTATCTCATTTATGGTCCCTGTGAATAGCTCACCATGGCTCCTGACAGGTCTGAGATACAGCTGTTGTTCACCACTGCCTCCTTCTGTGCTTTCTTGTCCCGGGAGCAAACCTGTCCCACTAGGGTTCCAGCAGTGGCAGGTGCCATCTCCTTCCTCTTTCCGGGGCCAGGGCTCCCACATGGCCAGGATGCCCTCAGCGCTACCTTCTCTGTTCCCACGCCCCCACCATCGGTTTCTCTGGGGTTGCTTTGTAAAGTCTGCTTTGATTTTGGGAAACCCAACTGGCTGTGCAGTTTCCACTGTGCACTTTTCTGGGCTGTGAGGTTAGGGGTGGCAAGGAGGAGGCAGGTGACATGGAGAAGGGGTCATTAAGGTGGACACACTGGGATGCCACTCCTCCAGCTGTGGTTCCCCTTCCTTTGTCCGCAGCTCCAAGGAACTGGGATCTTGGCCTGGGAGGGGTAGGGGGCCTTAAGGGTCCTGGCTGTGACTGCTGTGTGAATGTCCTGCAGCCACTGCTGCATAGAGCCACCAGCCGAGATGAGAGGAACAGATTGACCCATGGTGCTGGGACTAGAACACCCAAAATCGAGGTCCTAGCTAAGCTCACTCCTTCGGGGGAAGCCAGACCTCTCCCAGTGACCTGGGACAGCCATCCTCCTCTGCATCTTCCCTCCCTTGGAGTTTCCCCTGGTGTGCTGACACCAGTCCTGGATCCAGGCCAATCCTAATGAGCTCATCTTGCCACATCTACAGCAAACTATTTCCAAATAAAGTCACATGCTAAGCTGCCAGGGGTTAGGGCCTTAGTGTGCAAGCCTTGCTCGGGGGCACAGTGTATTGATAACAACTGAGGTTTCAAAGACTTAGGTGGCTCTGGCCTGCATGACTTTTGCAGGGTGCTTGTGCTGCAAAAACTAGCACAGCTCTTTCTGTAGAGTTGGACTGTGTGCGTGTGCATGTGTGCACCGCAGGCTGCAGCTCCTGACCTCAGCCTCTGGGTCTGTCTGAAGTGGGGGCCCTGCCCCTGTTTGATGCCCTCCTTTTGGCTTGACAGGTGGTCAGTGCCTTGCAGCCACTGGACTCCAATGTCCACTACCTGGACTCGGCTGGTGCGGAGCCCTCCTCCACAGTGTCAAGGCTGCTGCTGGGCCTGCCTCAAGTGCTGTCAGTGGCCAATGTCTCTGCCATGCTGGACAACATCATGAGGCGCGTGTGTGAAGTGATCGGCATCCAGGTGCAAGGTCCGTCCTGCTTGGGGGCCTGCGATGAGTGCTAGGCAGCCCAGGTGCAAGTGGACTCCAAGGCCAGCCAGGCCTGTGTTTGCTGGAGGAGCTCAAGTACAGGGCAAAGGTTACAGGTAGCTCAGTCCCTGCCCAAGCACACAGACAGGGCCTTGTTCCTGGAAGAAATTACCCAGCTGGTCTGTTTGGATTTGCTTTTGTCCATGTCAGGGTTGGCACTCATCTTTGGTGAGGACCTCATGGGCCACACGGCCTCCGTGCCAGCAGCTGAGTTCTGCCACTGCACCACAATGTGGCCCCTGGAGCACAGGAGCCAGCAGCTGGGGCCATGCGCTGTGCCAGTCCTCTACAGGTGCAGCGTGCTGCTCCCGACAGGTGCTGTTCTTGGTTTGTGACATTGCAGATCACACATAGTGATGTCATGTAGAGCCTGGAGATGGCATTTGCCTTCCTCCAAGAGCTAGAGACCAGGCTGATGTTTTGCAGAAGCTAAAGAAAGAGCTTCTCCTGCCAGTCCTGACTGAGCCCGTCCCCTAGTAGTGGAGGTCCTGTCCATCTCACCTGGGGGAGGTGGGAACACTGCATAAGGACAAGCAATCATTGGTAGAGAGCTGAGAGTCACAAATTTGAGCCAAAAGAAGGGGCTGGGACTATGCTGGGGACACAGGAGCTTGTTTGCACCTGTGCGCAGATACAGCTGGTGAGTGGCCTTGCTGTGCTTTCTTCATCCTGGGCACAGAGCGGCTTCATTTGAGGTCAGTACTTTGGAGTGTGTCCTCAGGCCATCATCTCATGGCTGCAACAGATGCCACTGGTACCCTGGTTGAGGACAAGGGAGGTGTTGAGGTGGAGTCTCACCTGCCTCTTCTTCTGCAGATGTGGATGAATGTGCCTATGACGGGCTGCATGCCTGCTCTGGGGGGCAGCAGTGTCTGAACCTGGAGGGCTCCTACCAGTGTGTCAGCCCCCAGGAGCTGACCTCACCTCCCCAGCCACTGAGCCACATGGACAAAGGTAATGCTGAGCTGTGGGTTGGGGGTACAACCTGGGGTTCTTTCTGTGTCTGGTGCTGGGGATCACAGAGACCTCTGCCTCTGTGCACAAGGGCCGCCAGCTCCTGCTCGCTGTGTCCCTGGCTTCTCTGGGAGGCTGTGGGTTCCTGGCCAACCTCTCGCATGGCACTTCCATACCGCAAATGTGTCTTTGGTGCCACATCCAGGGCCAGGTGCTGGAGACCAAGGGACACGAGAGTGTAGACCTGGACTGCTCTCAGGCCAGACACTAGCCACACGGGGCCTGTTTCAGGATGGCCTTGTCATCTCTGGAGGTGTGAGGGACATATTTCTGTTTATGCTGCAAGCACAGAAAGAGCTGAGACCATGCTGCTCTATGAGGTGACATTAGCTGCCTGCGGGGACACCTAGACAGGAGAGTCTGGCCCTGGTATGTTGGGCTTGTGTGATTGGCACCTGCCATGAGGGACTTACAGAGAAATGTCACTGTATATAGTGGTCACCCCCTTACCTTGTTTTCACTGTCTAATGATGATCAAAACAGTACACGGAAAATTCTGGAAAAAGTTCCCAAGTTTTCAATTACAAGTCTAGAGCATCATAATGAAATTCCTTCCATCCACACCCTGTTCCCTCTTGCTTGGCTCATGATTTGCACCTGTGCCCTGTGTTAAACATTGGTTAAACATTGGGTTAAACAGTCTGCCCAGTAGGCATTGAGCAGCCACCCTGGTTATCAGCTAGGCTTGGATGCACTTGTCCCTTCTCTCAAATATGCCCACCTACATTGTGGGTACCATTTATCATATTTAGCCATAGTGCCGTCTTCCACGCGAGATTTTAATTTTTCAAATCATACTGGAGGTATAATTGAGCATCTTGCTTTCTTTCCTCTCTACTGTGTCAGAGAAAGTCTTTGGGAAGAAACCTGGTGCCCACAATGGTGGCTTTTGGTAGGGGGGCAGCAATGGTGTCCATCCTACAGCAGTGACATAGTACCCTCAGCTATTTCCCTGTGAGCATGTGCCTACTGCAGTCAGCATTCTGCTATGAAGATGCTGACTATAACATCAGGATGTGGTTTAGAGAATGCCCAGGTTGAACTTATTCATAGTTGATCTGCATGCTCTTTTCCCTATAAAATTCTCATAGGGAAGGGGTTTCACCTCAGCTCACTACCAAGTGGGTGCCCAGGGCACAGCAACAGGCTCCCACAGCCACCTGCCCACCACACTGTGAGCTACACACAGTTGGGGGAGTTGGATGCTGCACGAATGTCACCAAGTATGTTTGTCCAGACATAGCAGGCATAGCCAGCTAAGCCCCCAGGCCCAGTGGCACAAGCACCCAAGCACATGCGGTTGGCAACGACCAAGGCATCATTATGCAAAGCATAGCTATTTGCTGGAACAACACATGACAAGGAATGGTAACCAGTGAGTGGTCACCATTCTTCCGATCTCCAAGAGTAGGAGGGAAAAGAAAAGGTAACCAGCAGCTCAGCCCTGGCCACAGAGTGAGTCTGTGGCATGGTGGCCCAAGACTGGAAGGTCTACCTGGGTCATGCACCTCCTTCCCCACTCCACCAACCCGGAGTCTGTATCATGGAGCCTCCTCCCTCCCACAGCCTCTGAAATCTGTAGACTTCAGAGTGAAGATCTTGGCCCTTTCTTGGGAATACAGATTAGACTCAGTCATTTTTAGCATCACTGGAACTCTTAAGAAATGGTAGACTTTTCTCCAGTGGCTGAAGTTGCCAACCAATCTCAGCCCTGCACCCTAGGGCATGAGACACAGCCATTGCCCAGACCAAGACCTGCTAGCTGGCTGCTGACACAGGCAGGGCAGCCACATGGGACCTGGCCATGCTTCCCGCAGTGCAGACGGCCAGGTCCAGTTTCCAGATGGGAGATTCAGGGTGAATTCCAATGGCACGCTGCAAAGGGAGCAGCATGTGTTTTAAATTGAGACGCTAATAGAAATGAGCAATCCGCTGGAATGCCTTAGAGAGACAAGTTCTTGGAAAATACAGCACAAACTTCAGATATTTTTCCTGGGAAATTAGTCACCCAATTAAAGACACACAGGCAGTTCAGTCCTCGCACAGGTCAGAAACGGGAAGAAATACTTCTCAGTGTGTATTTCATGCTGCAGGAGTAGACAGCTTTGGGGACTGTACAGTCCCCTGGAGTGAAGTTTTTAGCTCTGTAAGAAGTCTCTTGGGGCAGGCAGGGCATGGGTGTCAGTGTGAGGGGCCAGGCTGGGCATCCCCAAGTCTGTGCCCTCCACTCTGCTGGTTTCATGTGAGTGTCCAGATGGGATCAGTTTCATGTGATTGTTAATTCTTGGCTCCCATCCCACCCAGAGTCTCCACCTTTCTAGGGATGGTGTCAGGCCAGCCCGAGGGAAAAAAAAAGAGTCCACAGTCACAGGAGAGGCGTTTTCACCAGCTGGCTCCTGCTGAGCAGGAGATAGGTCAGGGCTGCCAGGATGAGAAATGAGCCCAGAGCCACTGAGGTGAGGACTCTGATGTGCTTCACCCTGAGAACCATCAGACCTCGGGTCTACGTCCCTAAGCATAGGATCCGGAATGCCAGGAAGAAATGGCTCAGCACCTGGGCCTGAGAGTGATGCTCGCTGCTGTGGCCCTTGGATGCCACACTAAGTTTTGGTTTGGAGAGCCACACTTTAAGAAGGACACTGAAAGCTAGAGTGACAAGTACTGGGGTCCTTGATGATGAAGACCCCAAACCAGGTTCCAAGGGGCTTATCCTGGACCATGGAGTCAGAGGTGGAAGGAATTGTTCTGATTTCAAAATGTCTCAGCTGGGCATGGAGGTACACATCTGTAATCCCAGCATTCTGCAAGGCTGAGACAGGGGAACTGCAGGTTCAGTGTCAGCCCAGGAAACTTAGCATCTTAGCCAGACCCTGTCTTAAAGTAGAAAAATAAGAAAAGAGCCAGGAAGATAGTGTGAAGACCCTGAGTTCAGTCTCCAATAGTCACACACACACACACACACACACACCCCTCACATCTATCCTACAAAAACAAAATTAGCCTGAATGTATCAGAAGGTACTCAGTTTTACAATACAAGAAAAATCTACCCAAAGTTGTGTTACCGAGCCTTGGGGCAGCTGTCTGGAATGTAAGACTTGGCAGGCACATGAGTGTCCTGTGGCTGCTGTGACCAAGCACTGCCAACCTTGAGGTTTAAAGAGCAGGAACTTGTGTCAGCAGGGATCTCGGGCCACTCACATCAAGGTTTGGGCAGGGCTGCACTGCCTCTGTTCCTGCTTCTATACCTTCTGGTGGCTGCCAGTGCCCCTTGACTTGTGGCCTCTTCTCCATCTTCAAAGCCAGCTTCTGCACTCTGTATGAGCTTTGTCACAGGATGTCCTCTTCCATGCTTGTCCCAGGCTTCCTCTGCTGCTCCTTTATAAGGATGCTTGGGATTGGATCTTGCACCATCGATTGTCCAGGGCAGTCCTCACATCTCGATCCCTAACTTGAGCACACCTGCAAAGACCGTTTTCCCAAAGAGTCTCAGAGACAAGGTCCTACTATTTCTGGAAGTCATTATTCAATCTTAGGTAGAAGGAGGAGTAAAGCAAGTGAATTTGTCCTGAGTTGTAACAGCCTGGCTTTTTGGAGATTCAGTTTTGGTTTCTGTAAAATGGGATTGCAAGAAAGCCTCTTAGCAAAGATTATGGCAGGACTAGGCGGAGTAGTGCTCCTGGGACATGCAGGCCTGGGAGAGCAGTGGCTGTGACCTTGTTGCCCAGGTCCTGGGTGGAGTGTGACATGCATGTCACAAGCAGTGCCTCATGGCTCCCTGGCTGTGTTTCTGCTATAGGTGACACTGGTGGGGATGTTTCCTTGTGCCTATGGGGCACTAATGTGGGTGTGAACTTGTTTCTAGAGTTAGTGACTGATTCAGGATATAGCAGTTGTTCAGTAAACCTAGCGCCACATGAAGTTGCCACTGTTGTAGATCAGAAGTGGCTGGAGGTGGATATGGCTGGTGTGGTTTAGATCTGAATGCCCCCTAGAGCATCACTGGATCATAGGAGGGGACTTGGAAGGTGATTGGATGATGGGGGCATAGGTGACCTGGTGTTAGGAGGCTGGTACTGGGGACTTGGCCTAGAGGGCCCATCTCCCTCCCTGGCTCCTCCCTTCACTCCACTTCCTGTTCTCCATGCCCTGAACGGTTCTCCTCTGCGAGGCCTCTGTGCCCCCCTGTCTACCTTGGTGCCAGCTGAGCATGGACTGGACCCTCCACACACTGTGAGCCAGGGTGAACCTCTCCTCCTTTCACCTGATGGTGCTGGGAAAGTGTCTCAGAGACTAGAAAGTGACTGAGGCCGCTGCAGATTCCTCAAGGTCTCCTTTGCAGACAAAGCCACATTGTTATCCAGAGGCAGCAGTGCTGCCCTAGGGGGTGGATTTCCTTGGAGGGAGGGGACTGAGCTTGGTCCCAACTACTGAACCTGCAGACAAATGACCACTCTGCTGTAAGCCTCACAGGCCACGATGCACTGGTTCTACAGCCTCAGCCCAGCAGCCAGAGAACCCACTGGCGTAATCCGTTTTGGAGTTTTGAGACAGGGTTTTACTATGTAGTCCAGACTGGCCTTGAACTCACTGTGTAGCCTGGAACTTGTGGCGATCCTCTTGCTTCAGCCTCTGCAATGCTGGGATTACAGGTGTGTGCCACCACACCTGGCTTGGAATCTTAATTTGAACAGCAAACATGTGTGGTTAAAGAGCCAGCTCATGTACTGCGACTCTAGCCCTGAGTCCCCTGGCTTGTGTTCTCCACATCCCTTCCCAGTGCTGAGGGCACCTTTCCATGTTAATTCTGCCTTGCTCAGAGACACCCTTAAAACACTCTTTCTGGTGGCCCATAATAGGGAGAGGCCGCCTGCTGTCTCATGCCGAGTGTGTGTCAGAGTTCCAACAAGGAGACAGGGTCATACCAGTCCTTAATGTGAGAGGTGCCACTCACCCCATTTTTCTGTTTTGGGGGTGTCCCACTGTCCTTCTTCCACCAATATGGATTCAAACTCACTTGTCATGTGTCTTTGTGGCATAGAGATAGAACTGTTGGCATTTTCAGCACATATTTATTTTGGTTTTTGAGACAGTGTTACTATGTAGTACAGGCTAGTTTTGAGTTCACTATGTAACCCAGGCTGGCTTCAAACTCATGGTGATCCTCCTGCCTCAGCCCCCTGAGTGCTGGAGACACCACATCCAAATTTAGCAGAGTTTTGGAAGAAAGACTGCAGCACTGCCTTCCTTTCTGAGCTACATGTGCTGCCCAAGCCTGGAGAGAGCTGCCTGGCTGATAGAAGGCCAGGTTTCTGATCCCAGGCATCCTGTGTAGTTGGGGTGAGGCGCTGTGTCAGGGAAATCTCTTGATTGGACCCCATTCCACATTCCTTGCTGCAGAGGAATGTGTCATGGTGTGTCAACAGCTGTGTCTGTGCCTATTTCTGTGACATGCAGGAGAATATAGGAACCAGCAGAATCAAGGCTTTGTACTTCTTGTTTCTCTGAGGCAGAGGGAGTGTGGGCTTCCAGTAATTCATTCCCATGTTCTCTGAGGCAGGTCTGCAAGGGTTCACTGTGGGGAACCAGATACTCAGGTGCTTTATGAAAGGTAGCTTGGCACCTGGTCAGAAGGAGGAGTTACGGGCTGTGTTGGTTGCAGGACTGTGACTGGGAACTGAGCCTGCTTCTGAACCTCTGGTAGTGAGGGCAAAAAGGAGAATGGGTTGCATTGGTTTTTTCTTTTTCAATGTATTTGGTACAGGGTCTCACTGCGCAGCTCAGACTCGCGGTGATCCTCCTTTTTTCAGCCTCCTCAGTGCTGGGATTACAGGTGTGCGCCACCATGGCCAATCTCTGTTACCAGCTCAGTGTGCAGGGGGTGGGCTTATATGCTGGGGATTGAACCCCAGTCCCTGTGCTTGCCTAAGCAGGTGCTTAGCCCGCTGAGCTACCTCACCGACCCTGCACTGATTTGTTGTGGTTGTTTATTTGTTTTAGTTTTTCCTGAGAAAGTATACATGTGTTTGGAAAGACACGTGTTTTCACAATACTAGAAAGAATGTATCCTGTGAGCCCTGACAGGAAGGGCTTGGGGAAACCACGTAATTTGAAAGTACTTCTTCTTTACTACGGTTTTATAGTTTTTTTTTTAAAGTTCCTCATTAATTTTTTCTTTTTGTAGAACTGCCACTCCAATACACACACGTTTTGGTGTCTTGACTGAGAGCCACCTACTTTTTTGGTAATTTCTACTCCTGTATCCCTGTTGGGAGCCAGATTTTTCATCTAAAATAGAGCTCTCATTCTAGCAGAGTCCCAGAATAGAGGGTGGCCAAGCATGAGGCCCACAGCTTGTTTTTTTTTTTTTTTTTTTTTTTGAGGCAGGCTGTCACTCTGCAGCACAAGCTCACACGGTCCTCTGCCCCCAGCTCTTGAGCGCTGGGATGGCAGGTGGGTACCACCACACCTGGTCTCAGCTTGGGTGCTAATAGCAGAGCACTGAGGGCCTTGCAGGAGACCCAGCCAGACCTCCACGCCTCATTCCCATGGGGCCATTGGTGCAGTGCAGTCAGTTAGTGAGCAGCCAATATAGGTGACAATGACCAAGCATGGGTACAGCCCTAGGGGTTACCATTGGGATGAGTGCTGTGTGAGATGCCACGTCAGTCTCCCCAGCGGGTGCCGACACTCTGGTAACCAAACAGTGCCCTCACAGAGAGGCTCTGCACGCACATGGGATAGACTTCAGCATGTGTGGGTCGGCACTGTGCCGGCTTGGCTGGGGGTGGGTGGGGCTGAGATTCCATCTTGGACTTGGCTGTACTTTCTCCTCCTTTCATCAAAAACACACCCTCATCTTGCAGCAGCCTGGAGCTGCCTGCCAACATGGCTTTCCAGAAGAAAGAAGTGAGTCTGGTCAAACCAGTCATTTGATTCTTAATTGTGAAAAACCAAGTGTTGTAGGGGTTCTGGGGAGGATGAGCCCCACAGCTCCCTCCTCTCTGCTTTCCTAGACTGTCCTCCCATCCAGGACCATGTGGCCCTCAACGTCACCAGCAGCGACTTTCAGGTGTCCTGGAACATGAGTGCCTCCCGAAGCCATGATTTCTACGTGCAGGTGTACCAGGGAGAGCAGCTACTCCGGAGCACCTGGACCAGTGGCCTGGCCCTGTGGGTGTCAGGGCTGGATGCCGGGGAGCTATACACAGTGCGGACCAGCTACCAGGGTTGTGGTGCCAACATCTCCAGTGTGCTCATCGTCAAGACTGGTAAGGCTCACCAGAAACTGTCCCTGCAGAGATGGTCCTCCTGCCCCAGGTCCCTGGCCCCTGACACTCCACTTTGCCCTTCCTGTGACTGGGAAACAGAGGTGACTGCCTGCAATACACTTGTGCCCTGGGAGCTTCCACACTAGGGCCATCATGGCCCTAATGTCCCTTTATTTTTGTCTGGGGCTATCTGTGACATTGACAGTTACAATTCACAGGCTGTATAGGACCTCTCTCTCTCTCTCTCCATCATCCAAAGCACATATGGGATGTGCTAAAAAATGACGAATGTCTAAGTTCTTAGAAATGATCATAGTAAAAGCATAATTCCCATGAGTCCCCCTCAAAACCCTCCCCTCACCGTGAACATGCTCATGCCATCGTCTAAAGTCCTCTTTCTTGAGGGTCTTCAGCTGTGCTGTCCCGACTGCCTCTATGTCCTGAATAAATTCAAAGGGTTTCCCTTTCCTGATCATTTGACTTTGGAGAGAGTCCAGTGAGCAAGGTGGGGAGGATGCCACACCCTGTTTCTGCCAGCCTGCCTCTGAGTGGAATGGTGCTGGGCAGCAGCGCGCACCGCACTTTTGATCACACCTTGTAAAGACCCTCATGGACACATAAAGACCTTGACTTAGTTCCCAGCTTCCCATGGCCCCATCTTGCTGTCCAGGACGAGAACAAGGGGGAAACATTCCTTTCCCTGGGAGGAAGTGAGGCTGGAGACAGAGGCCCTGGAAACCATCCTGGAGTCAACTGTCACGTGTGTCCCCTACTCCCCATGTGCCACCGACTCCTGTCCTGTGCAGGCACCACCCTCCTTCCCAGATCACCAAGTGCTGATCTCGATGGGAATGTAGAGTGGGGACCTATAACCCCCGTACCCTCGGGAAACCAGGGAGGGATGGAGTCAGCCTGTTCTGTGGCTAACTTTGGTTTTCTTTCATTCTATGCCCCTTAAAGGGCTTTTCCAATCTGACCACTTGCCCCTTGGGCTATCGGCAGTGCATGTAACCACTGTAGCCCACGACTGGTGCCTCATGGGAGCCCAGGGCATGATGGTGCTAGGCATTAGTGACTGAGCCCGAAACCCCACTGACCCAGGTCCTACAGGCTTCAGCCGGGCCAGGCGGTCCTGATCTCAGGGGACCTGGCCTGGAGTGTCAGCAGAGAGCAGCAGCAGCCTGTGTCCGCACAGCCCTGCGTGGGTTTCACAGACCTGTGCTCAGCCGTGCTTTGAGATACAAAGGGCATCAAAGTTCAAGTTTTGTTTCTAAAACAAATTTTGCCAGTGTTTATCTGTATTCCTCATGTGGAGTTGGTAAATGATACCACACATCCCGGTTCCTGTCTTCATCCCTCCCCTTCCGTCCCTAAGTCTCCCTCCATCTCTTGGTCCCCTACCCATCTGAGAGAGATCCATCTCTCTATCATCTATGATCTATCTTTTATTTCATTCTTTATTTGTAATTTGAGTTTTTCCTGTAGGAGAAATCACACAAGATTTAAGCATGCATGCTGATGTATTTCACTTAGCACTGTGACTGAAGGTGCCTCTGTTTTCCTTCAAATGACTCAAGTTTATCGTTCTATATGGCAGACCAGTGCTCCACGGTGTGCAAATGCCATGTTCTATTTTTCTCCATTATCTGCTGATGGATATCTAGGCCATGTCCAAGATTTGGCTATTATGAGCTGTGCTGCTAGAAACTTGGGTGCGCATGGATCACTGTAATGTGATGTCTTTAGCTCTTTGCAGGAAGATACCTAGGAGGCAAGTAACTAGCTCAAGTGGAATTTCTGGTTTTAGTTTTTCGAGGCTCTCCATACTCATCTCTGTAGTAGTTATACCAGTTCACATTCCTGCCAACAGTATGAAAGGTCCATTTCTCCCTACAGTCTTGCCAGCATTTGTTAGTATCTATTTTTCTCCTTTTTTTTTTTTTTTTTTTTTTGTACTGGGAATTGAACTCAGGACCTTGCACTTGCCAGGCAGGTGTTTGTGCTGCTAAGCTACATCCTTGGCCTGATTTCTTGATAATGGCCATGCTTTTTTGGGTAAGATAGAACCTTATTGTTGTTTTAATTTGTAATACTGTAACAGCCAGCGATGTTGAGCATTGCTTCCTGTATTTATTGGTCATTTGTACTTTCTTTATCTGCTCATTTTATATTGAGTCTCTTACTTTGGAGTGGTCTGATTTTTTTTGAGATTTTTTTATATTAGTCTAGATATTAATCCTTTGCTAGGTCTCAAGATTTAAGTAACTTTTATTACAGTATATTGTTATGATTCTTCTATTTTATTATCAGTTATGTTCATCGCCTCCTCTGTCTAGTTCATAAGTGTTGCCACAGATGTGTACATGGGAAAGGACAGGATTGGGACTGTCTATGGGTTCAGGTATATTTGCTGGGTATTCTAGAAGTTCTCTCTTGGGTCCAACAGTACTGACTGTACACACAGTGGGCACAGGTAATGGACTCTATACTGGACCCTTGGCCACTAGACCAAGTAGGGTCAGGCTGCTCATGGTCAGAGAAACAAGGAGACAAAGTGGGCTGCACCCCTAGGCCTAGCGAGCATCCTCTGTGTGGGCTGGCTTTACGCCAGGATGAAAGTGACCCTGTTTCCCTGACCCATCTGGAGTCTTAGAAAAAGCCACATCCCTAGCAGGTGACCAGTCTCCTCAGCCAGTTTTGCCAAATTGGGTCCAGTCCCCTCCCCATGTTGTAGCCTTTGGGGAGCCAAAGACAAGGACCTGGATGGGCCTAGTAGCTGGGCTCAGGGGAAAGGGGTGCAGCATTCCCTCAGAAAAGAAGACTTGGGGGTCTTTGCACCCCCATGTGTGTTTGAGTTCTGGTGTGTCCTCCTGCCTGGGCCTGGCTGTGACTGTGTGAGTTGATGGAAGTCCTCAGGAGGATTTCCCCAATGTGTCTACATCAAGTTAAGCCTCACAGTGTATTTTTTAAAATTTCTATATCAAATAATAGATTTTATGGAAATCATTGGTGGGAGAACTTGTGACTACTTACTTACTTAATTTGTGGTGTGGGAGATGGAGACCAGGGCCTCGAGCATGCTAAACAAAGGCTCATGGAGTCATTCCCTAGGACATCAAGTGACTTGTGACCTCAGGGTCACCCCTAACATGTGCTCCTGTCTGCTTCAGATGCCCGGGTGTTTGAAGTCATCATAAGGATCACCAACCGCAATCTGACAGAGCAGCTGCTCAACCACAGCAGCGAGGAGTACCGGAACTTCTCTGGACAGCTGCTGAGCGAGGTATTGGCAGATGCAGTGATCTGGTACAGATCTGTGCAGATCTGGTGCTGGTGCCATTCCCCGGTGCTCTGAGCCAGAACAATGCACACAGGCCAGCTGCTCCCCAAGGAGAGGCAATATCATGGCTACTTGTGGATCAGGAGAGTCAACCCCTCATTGCATGGGGATACTCAGACCCCCTCTTCTGGTGCAGTTAGTTAAGAGGCCTGAATCAGGCTACAGGCAAGCCCACCAGAACCTGGGCCCAGAAGGGGCCTCTGCATTTGTTATCTTGGACAAGAAGTGGGGCTGCCCTTCATTCTGGTGGAAGCTGCCATCCTGGTCCCCCCCCCCCAGGCTGTTCATTATGCATAGCCTTAGAAAGCCTTCCAGATGCAGGCTAAGTGTCATGTAAGGAACCTGCATGGGGCTGCCTCCCACAGCCAGCAACATGGAAATTGGCTTTTCCAATGTGCATTCCCTGGTTTTTGCAGGGACCCAAGTGCCAGGGTCTGTCTGCATGCTTTCTGGGGGAATCTAGCCTAGTGTGGAGGGGCAGCTCCAAGTAGCTCCAGGACCATTCCTTGGTGGTCCCTCTCCACCACTCAGTTCCTAATCTCTGCCTCACCCCCATGCACAAGTTCCCCCTCTTGCTAGTTTTGATAGAGTGCTCTGTCTGCTGCCCATGGCTATGAGATGGATTGTAGCAGTCGCTGTGAGTTCTCCAGGAAGATGGGGTCTCACACCCTGGAAGACGCTGCTGCTGTCCCATCTGAGTGACTGTGGTCTCTTTCTGGCCAGGCTGAGAACTCCTTCTCAAGAGCCGCTTCGGACCTGCATAGAAAGGGGAAGCTGAGGCTGGAGCTTGTGGCTCTTCAGGCAGGAAGCCTTGTGGCGACACTCCGAGTCACTGTCCGAGACCCTGAGTTCCCAGTGGGTGTCTCCACGCTGGCCCCGGTGCTCCAGCTTCTGCGTGCCAGTACCATGTTCGAGATCGACCCCCAGGGGACACGAGTGCAAGGTGCATGTCCCCTCCTCCTGCTGTACCACCCCTGAGCCCCTCCAGCTTAGATCATCGAGGCAGCTTGGAGTCGGGTTCTCCTTCCTCTAAAGGCAAATGCCTTAAAGGAAATGCAAGCCCCTGGAACTGCATCCCACCCTTTGTTCTAGGAAAGACTTGGGGGTCCTGGCAGGGGACTTATTCCTGAGTAAAAAGGGACTGGGGTTCAGGTGGGATCAATGCAGGGCTCCCGTTCCTGTGGCTGGGGCCCCAGCATCTTCGGTGCCTGTGGAGTGCGTGTGGCGGGGTACTTGATTGGCCTTCATGGCATCTCAGTTCATTTCCTGTCACCTTGCTGTAGATGCAGGAGGTACAGAGAGACAGAGAAACAAAGAGCACCTCCAAGGGAGAGACTTAGACAGAGATAGACACAGAAGTCTATCTGCCTAAGAAAGGGGCAGACAAAGAGGCATAGAGAGAGGCAGAGAGCATCAGAGACAGACAGGCCTGGAGAGATGTAAGGAGACAGAGACAGCAGAGTGAAGCCTCCCTCCATGCAACAGAGGGTTCACCTCCATCTCCACCCCTGAGCATGGGACACTCCCCTGCTCCCCAATCCCACATTCCCAGCAGGGGCCCAGGCATGAGCAGGATCACTCTGTGCTCAGTGTGTGCTGGCTGTTCCTGTGTCTGCACTTTGGAGTCACTCCTGGACATGCTCAGCTGGAACACCCTGCTCACTGGGGGCCTCAGGGAAGAAGGTAGCCCACCACTCGTACAGCACCTGCATTGTGGGCTTTGGCTGGAGGGCCAGAACCCTGGATGTTGCTCTTGCCTGTAGTCCCTCATTCAGCATGCCCAGCTGTACTGGACGTGGACTGTTCTGTTCACCCTAGAGCTGTCTGGGTGCCTGTCAAGGTGCGAAGGTGCCTGGCAACCCCCTGCATGCACCTCCCACCCACACTGCCTTGCAGCCAGGGAGGGAGCCGGGCCTTGGCTTTAGTGCAGAATGAAAGAAGCCTGTCTCGCCTTGTTCTGTGCCTGCTTGTGAGCTGTGCTTAGGTCCACGCTGGGGGTGCCTGCCTGGCCCTACACAAAGATGCCTGCAGGAGGAAGTCAGGCAGTGCCTTAGGAAGAAGTGTGCCAAGTGTCCCGAGGCAGCAGTGTGTGTACACAGCACGAGTCAGAGCGACGCAGCCACAGCTCACATGCTGCTGAGCGTCCCCTGAAACAGAACAGAACAGGCCCTATCTTGGCTCAAATCCAGCCAGCTGGGTGTTGCCTGGCCCACCAGGCTGGGTGTGCTTTCCCGGGTACCTCTACCTGCTGCAGGCTCAGCTCCCTCCTGGCACCCTGAAGGAACCACATGCAACCTGCCTGGCTAGACCCCAGCCAAGGTGACTCTGTTCAGAGGCCTGGATGCTCTGAAATGACACAGATGGCCATGGGAGGCTTCTCTGGAACCCCTGGTTCAGATGTTTTACTGTCTGTTAGCTGAAACACAATAGTAGGGAATGTCACCACATCAGAGGGAGAGAGAATAAGTAAGAGGAACAAGTCACGTCAAATGGCCACACCTTTAACACCCAGAACTCTGGGGGTGCTGAGGCAGGAGGATCCCAAGTTCAAGCCCAGATGGGGGAGCTTAGTGATTTAGTGAGACCTTGTCTCAAAAGAAATAGTAAAAAGGAATTGGGGATGAATCTTAGTGCAAGGGCCCTGGATTCAATCCTCAGGATGGAAAGAAAGAAAGAAAAAGAAAAAGGCCAGCTCAGGAAGATAGCTCAGTGGCATAAGTGCCTACCTGGCAAGCACAAGGCCCTGAGTTTAACTCCTGGTACCAGAAAGAAAAAAAAAGAAAGAAAGAAAGAAAGAAAGAAAGAAAGAAAGAAAGAAAGAAAGAAAGAAAGAAAGAAAGAGAAGGAAGAGGAGGAGGAAAAAGAAAGAAAAAGAGAGAGGGAGAGAAAGAAGATAAAAAGGAACATGCCCCAGCCCAAGGAGCCAGCATCCTCCCTAAACAATGCTCACCCCTAAACAAGCCAGTGCTGTGGGTGTCAGCAGAACTGTGGTCAGCGGGAAGCCTAGTCAAGGGCAAGCTTCAGGACCTCTTGGTGTGGGCCTCGTACTCATGCTGGTTGGCACATGAGTGTCATGCAGTCATGCAGGGTCCCCCCCCTCCCAGGACAGCAGTCTATGTTCTTTGTCCATGCCTCGCCTGCACCCTCCTATTTCCCAAGCAGCCAGCCACCTTCTCACCACTGTCTGCTGTTTCCCCACAGACCGGGACGAATGTGCCCATAGCTCGGAGCATGACTGCTCTCCCACCGCTCGCTGCGTCAACCTCGAGGGCTCGTACACCTGCCAGTGCCGCACAGTCAGGGATGCCAACCCCGCCCGGCCTGGCCGTGCCTGTGAGGGTTCGTGTCCCCTGTCCCACTCTGGGTCTGGGCTAGGGCAGGTGCTTTCTCCAGCAGGGACAGTGCTGTGGGCTCACAACAGTGCAAGGGCCCACGGGAATGTCTTAGTTGTCTTTTGAAACACTGATGATCAAGCTAAAAGCAGAATGAGTCCAGCCAGCATCTCTTCATCTCTACTCCAGTGCAGTTGTAAATTTAATTTCAATGATGTTTATGAAGGGCACAGGCACCCCCAGAGGCTAGGTGGCCTGGAGCTCAACAAGGGATGAAAGCCTAGGTAAACTCAAATTAGGTCTTGAGAGAGGGCCCTAGTGCCCCAGTCCTGACACATCCCTGCTCCAGGTCTTTTGGGGGTCTACTTCTGATCAGCAACTTCCTAAGTGCCGAAGCCAAAAGAAGTCCCCTGTAGACTTCAGGTACTGTGATTGATTGGCCATGTCTGGCCCAGGAGCAGGCATGGATGGGATAGTCGCTTGGCCCCTGCTCCCATCCCAGGACTGGCGGGAAGGACCAGGAAGATTGCTGGGGGATGGGGAGATCCTGCTCTTCAACACCTAGAAGCACCTTCCAGCTTCCAATGTTCCTGCACTTGGTTCTTCTTCTTTTCTTTTTAAAATTCACTGAATGTCCAGCATGCTAGTGAGGGAAATTAGCACTGACTCCCACATACTAGAGTGCAGATGTGGGGAGCTTCATGCCATTTTCCCAGAGCCTTGGTTCTGATGGTGGGAGGACCAAGCCCTTCCTGCCTTCCGGCCAGGGTGTGCAGCCCCCAGCCAGCTCCCAGCTCTGGGGTCTCAGCTTCCCCTTAATCAAATGAGAAAGTCCCTCTGCCTCTGCCTGCTATGGGAATTCGGAGGAGCAGATGTGGCCTTATTCAACACCAGTGCATCAGCCTGTGTCCTCCTGGGGTCTGAGGCAGGACAGGGTGCTCCTGTGGAAGACAGGGTTTCCCTCCCCTCCAAATTGTCTTGCTGGGGAGAGGCTGGGCCATCTTCCCAGTCGCTGCTGGGGCCCAGCGTGGATGTGTCTTGCAGGTGACGTGGTGAGCCCTACTGGACATCATCGGTCTGCAGCGACGGGGGTCACGGCCCTGGCCCTCAGCACAGGAACCACAGCCCTTGTCCCAGAGTTCCCCACCTTGTCACTCAGCTCCAGGAATCCAGGAGTCACCACAACAGGAGCCCAGGTCCCAACCCCAGGGCCCTTGCCCAAGAGAGAGTCTGGTGGCACATTTGGACAGGACAGAAACAGCACAGGGCCTGGCCGGGAGGAAGAGAGGCCCACTGTGGACCCTGGCCCAGGAGTGGCCAGCCCAGCCTTCTCATCTTCCACTCCCAGGCCAAGGCCTGGATTCTCCCATGGGACCACAGGCAGCCCATTACACTCCCCAGGGCAGCTCCTGGGAAACATCACCATGGAGCCACCCACCTTGCCGACCCCCACCAATGGTCCCGCAGGCCATGTTGAGTGGCACCCCAGCCACCCCACAGAGGGGATGGCTCTGCAGTCCACAGCACTACGGCTCGAGGACCCTGCACCTTCCCCCTTCCGGGACTCCCTTTCAGTCCCCACCTCTGTAATGCCAGAGACTTCTACCTGTGGTGAGTGACCCCAGGGGTCGAGATCCTGAAGAGAACTTGGGGCTTGCAGGGCCCACATGACCAAATCCACAGAGCTGGTGTGTCCCAGGCCAGCCTGAAACATGAAGAGGGCCCTATCCCTTTGTGTAGCTGAGGAGACTCTGTGCCGAGCAGGCATCTGGTCTCCTTCAGTAGAGACTCTGTCTCCAATCTGTCCTGCTACTCCTTAAGGGTCCTGCTTTTTAGCCAGTGGAGAAGAAGTCAGGGGGAGGAGACATTGGGGTGTATGTGTTCTGAGGGTACTGAAGCACCCATGTGTCTAGTACCTCAGTCATCCTATATCCCTGCTACTGCCCTACCACCCACAAGTCTGCACCCTGGTTTTCCTATCCTGTCCTGTACCCTGTCTTGTACCCAGCCCATTTGTCCCTGCATAGTTGTACTGCAGCCCCATCAGGTCCATCTTGTACACAGAGGCTTTTAGACTGCTCCAAGCCCTGAGGATGCCCCAGGAGGTGAGCAGCAGGAGCTCTATGGTGCCAGCCTCATTGCCCATAGTGTCCCCACTGTGCTCACAGAGCAGCTCCCTCTCACTGTCCAGCCACACGTGGGTTGCCTCATGGCCGAGCGGCTTGCAGGCCAGTCCTGCCCTCATGTTGTCCTCTGTGATTTCCACTGCACGAGGAGCAGAGAGCTTGGTTGGGAAACCACCCAGATCCTGAAGAAGAGCTTTAGTGTTCTAGGTCTTCAGGGCCAGGTGGCCCTCCTCAAAAACTGAGCCAAGCTAGGGGTAGTGAGTGGTCACCACAGGACAGGGTGCTGTCCCATGAAGCTAGGACAGGCACTTGGCACAGTTGTGTGTGATGGTGAGGGCCGCTGATGGAGACTACTCTGAGGAGGTGCTGAGCAGTCTGCAGAATTAATCAACTGACTTTCACATTAGCCTATGAGATTAATGTCCACACCTAAGTATCTTGCCTGAGGAACAAGCGGCTGATGTGCAGAAACAGAGCTCTCCATGCCGATGGTCACGGCAGAGGCCTGCAGTGGCCTGTGACACTGTGCCAACTCTGAGGGCAAGATAACACCTCTGCTGAGAATACTGATTCTCCCTCAGAACTCCAGGGCAATAGCTGCCACCTTCGGGATAAAACAGATCTCTCACTGAGCAAAGACTTACTCTTTGTTCCATCTTCACAAGGCCTTGCTTACTTTTCTGCCTTTTGCTTCAGTTAGTCCCTGCACTTCCCTGTGTGCCCCCTGATATTCTATGTACCCAATAAACAGTGGCCAGTTCAGAGAGGTTAGGGTCTTGGCCATAGACTTCCTGGACCCTCATATACCATGTCACTTTGTCTACTGCCTTTTATCCCTTGCTGTACACTTGCCTAGGGTAGTGACTGGTCAGCTCCTGACAGGGTGCTCCCAGACCCTTCCCTGGCTGTAGTCATTAGGCCTGTCCTGCCTCCTGTCTCTGCTGTGGTGTCTTTGAACTGTTTCTTCCCTCAGAATGGCTGGGTTCATTCTAACTTCAGCATTTTCATTTCACTTCCCAGTCCCTGTCCCCATCAGAAAGGTCACAGTCTCCAACATGACCAGCACCAGCTTCCATCTGGCGTGGGTGGCAGACATCACCCTGCACCCCACTTTTTATCTCACGGCCACTGCTCCACAGAGCCCTGCTGTGGGCCTTGAGACCCAGGAGCTCAGCGCAGAGCTGTCAGAGCTGGAACCTGGAGTTTTGTACCTGGTGGAGATCACAGCCAAAGCATGCGGAAAAGAGGGTGCAAGGACACGGCTGAAAGTGAGAACAGGTGGGGCCTCTAGGAAGGTGGATCCCACTGCTATCAGGAGGAGGTGGTGGTGGAGATCTGGGGGTGGTGGGGTGAGACACTGCTGGGCTTCTGTTTCTCTGGCTCCTTCGCCCCTGTAGTGTAGGACAGCAGGACTCAGGACTCCTCGCAGGAGCTGGTGTTGGGCCGGCCCAGGGTAGAGGGTTGCTTTGTCTCAGGACAGAGGCTACCCGTCTGGGCCCTTGTGGGTTTGTGGTCCAACACTGGCACTATGTGCATTCCTCAGGCCCTCTCCACTCTGGGACGCTTGGTCTTCCACCAGACATGGGCAGGGCATCTACCAGAGCCACAGCACAGAGGGAGGGGCTCAAGCAAGGTTCAGAGCTGGAGCTCGTCCTCAGCAATGACCACATATAGGAAAGCCAGGTGTGGTGTGATCCCAGAGCTTGGGGAAACTGAGGCAGGAGAATTGTAAATGCCAGCCTGATCTGGGCAATTTAGAAAGACTCTGCCTCAAAATGAAAATGAGATATAGGCTAGGATGTAGCCAAACGTAATGGCTCTGGGTTTAATCTTCATACCACAAAAGCCAAAGCAAAAACAACCAGGTTGAGATCATCCCTCTTTCCTCTTCATTAGTGATTGTCACAGGCTTTGTTCTTAAACGAGTGACCCACCTTGTGTCTGGTGCAGCGGGTGATCCATATATATTAGGAGATATTGGTAGCAGTGGTCTCGGGGTAGGGAGTGGGTTGTACTGTGGGGTTGTTTTGTGGTTCAGGTTAAGACTGAGTAAGAAGTTCTTGGGGAACCAATTCTGAGTCACCTAGAAGAGACCCTTAACTTTCCACCCTACTGCCCAACACCCCTGGCGTGGAGCAGCTGCTCCGCAAAATGCCCTAAGAAAGACAGAGGGAGGGAAGACAGAAGTCAGGTGCTCCTGTTCTGAGGCCATGCACAGACCCTGTGTCCCTCAGAAGCCCTGCTGGGGTGCAGACCCAGTGGTTACACAAGGTGTCAGAGCAGACAGGGGTCCTGGAGACCTGGTGATGGAAGGGAAGCCGTGCAGCCCAGCCCGACAGCCATCCTGGTGTGGGCCCTGTGTCCCAGCCAGGCCAGGACAGCTGCTTCACATTGTGGCCCTGTATAGTTATTTCATGGGCTCCTTTCACCCCAACAGTGTCCTGGCCCATCACCCAGGCACAGGTCATAGCCCCTCAGGACACAGGGCATGTGGGGGACAGTTGAAGGCTGGCTCTGCAGCCTCCAGAAGTATCTGCCCTGTGTTAGGCCTGTCCTGAGATCGTTTTTGCTCTCTTCAAACAAAATGCTCTGCCCCTTAGCTGCACCAGGCACCAGTGCCAACCTTTTCAAGAGTGCAGGTCAGCCCTGCATGTTCTTCTTGCCAGAGTGGACCTGTGGCTGTGAAACCAAAGTGACAAGGTGGTGGTGTTCCCAATGCGTCTTTTCTCCACCCTGCAGTGGCCCAGAAGCTCCGTGGCAAAGTCAGGATCGTGAACGTGAGATACTCCAAGTCCTTCCGCAACACCAGCAGTGAGGAGTACCGAGGATTCCTGGACCTGTTCTCCAGGACGGTGAGGTGGCAGGCATCCCTCCTCCTTTGGGGAGATGAAGGATGGAGGGCAGCAAGTTGTAGACTCATCCAACCTAGAGTAGGACCCTGGGGCTCTTGGGCTCCTGGGTTCTGAAGGAGGCTGGGTCTAAGCCTTGAGCCTAAGAGTGGAGCTGCCACACAAGCCCCCAGTCACACTGTCCTCTGTCCACTGTGGGATCCTACTATGTGCTGCAGAAATCCCCTCTCCTGCTTAAAAAAACTTTAAAAACTGAGGTTTGTGGCAAGTACCACAAAATTCATATTTTGAAAAATAATAGCTTTATTGAAACAATGTACAAACTTTAAGAGTCAGTCAATGTATTGCACCAGCAGAACCACACAGCCACAACCATGATGGAACTGAGATCATTTCTGTTATCCCCAAACAAGACACTGTGCTCCTTAGCTCTTGTCTCCCAGCCCCTCTGCCCTGAATCCAGGCCCTGAGCTACTCTATCTTCATAAATTTTCCTATTCTGGGAATTCTTTTTTTTATTTTTTTATTTTTTTATTCAAAATAGACTGTGATTCTAGCAGCAACAGAGACCATAACATATCCAAAGAAACAAGAATCCTACAGGAATCTGGGGGTAGGTGGTGGTGACTGCGCTGCTATTGTGCTGCTACACAGGGTGTGCATCTGTCACTGTGGTAGGATGTTTTTCATTCCTTTGAGAAGATGCCCGAGTGGGGAGAATGTCATATTTCCTAGTGTAATTCAGGGCTCATCGTCTGTCGACAGAATCATGCGGCAGTCACCATCACCTAACCCCAGATTGTTTTCATCACCTCAGAGCGGAATCCCAAGCCCATCACAAGTCATAAGCCCTGTCCCCCCACCCCCACCCCACCCATGTCGGGGCAGCGCCCCTCTGCTTCCTCTCCGTGGATCTGCCGGATTTGTGCAGTGACGGAGCTGTGCACTGTGCGATGGTGAGGTCTGGCTTCTTTCACCTGGCATGAGTTTTCCAGGCTTCTCAGTGTGGCACATGCCGGCCTTGACCCTTCCTAGGGCTGAGCGACAGCCCACGGTGCGGGTAGGTCACATTTTTCTGTCCATGCATTCATTGATCTGGGTTGCATCCCTTTTTGTCTATTATGAAGCATGCTGCTAGGATCCCTCACCTTCTAAAAAGCCCCTTTCCCTCTGTCCTTGTCCTCCTTCCTAATGGTTGTCTCTCTGGCATTCTACAGTCTAGTAGGGGCAGCAGCATTGCTATCTTTGTGGGAGGGTAGGCATTTTTTTTAAGGCATAAAGAATGCAGTGGCTACAACTGAATGATCTTTTTTTTTTTTTTTTTAGCTTGAGAAGGGTTTTTTTTGGGGGGGGGGGCTGACTCAGCTGCCTTAAGGGCAGGTCTCGTGCAGCATGTGATGCTGGGGATCGAACCGCTGTCCCCTGAGCCTGCCCGAGTTTTCTCAAGCATGCATTTTAGACAACTGAGCTAACCCACAAGCCCCTGATCTTATTTTTGTAGTTGGACTCTCACGTTTCCGTTTTTCCTCACTCTGGGAGTTTGAGTTTTGAAACCTAGAACGGAGAGGGTTTCCACAGCGCCATCTCGTGGCAGGAGTGATAATGTGAGGGGGCATCCACAGAGCTGGGCGCGCGATGGTTTCCAGGGGAACCCACCGGACTGGCTCCTGGTAAAATGGCCCAGCCAGTGGCAGTGGCTCCTGGGATCCAGGGTCTGCCATGTTTATTCTGGGATCCCCAACTGCTGCTGGTGCCAGTCTGCCAGAGGCAATGGTGATGTGGTTGATGGTGCACACTGCTGCCTCCTCGAGGCAAATGGCAGCTGCCCCTGACTTCAGGCACTGCTCCCAGCAGTGAGGTGAAGGGCTCCTGTCTCCATCTCAAGCTTTTGGACTAATCTTTCTTCTTTTAGCTTATCCTCCATTGCCCATTTGGGAAAGCATTACGTTTTGTGTCTAGAATCTCAGCATAGCAGAGAATCGTGCAAGTCCCTGCCTGGATGGGATGTGGAGAGGCGAGTTGAGAGATGTGGGTTAATGTGGTACCTGTCTTAGCATCTGTTCGTGGTGGTGAGACTGGAGCTTTGAAATGGTGGCATTAATCCAAGACCCCCGTGCATCTGTGTGGCGGAGGGGAGGAGGAGAAAGGCCGAGGGCAATAACAATAACTCTCTGACAGAGCCAACCGAAGGCTCGGGTGAGCCTCTGTTGGGTGACAATGAGTTTGCTCACTTGGGCGGCAGGGAGTGGGGCATGGCCCCATGAGCCTGGGTCCTGAGCCACTTGAGGCCCTAATCTCACTGAGATCCGTCCCTAGAGGAACTGTACTCTCTAGCACATTCACACTGCGTGGGCCATGACAGCCCACTGCGAGGCCATGCATCTTGGGGCATTGAGGTCATGGGGAACTGGGATAGGGGAATACAGTGTATGGCGTGTGATGCTATTCAAGGTGACAGAATCTAAGAGTGGGCAGAGGAGGCACTGCCTGCCCTAACAGGGAGCTGCAGGTATGCCTGTGGAGGCAGCTCGGGGACAGGAAGGAGGAATGCAATGAGAAGTGCTCTGCAGTATCAGGAAACATGAAGAAGGGGTGGTCTTGCTGCCCAGGCCCTGCCCTGGGAGGCTCAGAGTCAGCTGCCACTGTGAACCCCCACATGATGGACCCATGCTCAGCCCACAGCTGTCTCCCCACACCTTCCTGTGCTGCAGGACACGGACCTTCTCTGCGTCACAGACATGGGTGCTGGGCTGGGGCCTGAGCAGATGGGAAAGGGGCCTGGAGCCAACCTGCAGCTTTGACCGTGCCATGAGGCAGCCCTGCTCCAGGGTAGAACCCTCAGCACCAGTGGCCCATGTCCTGTGTCTCTCCAAGGTGCGAAAGTCCCTGCCGGCCAGCCTGCGTCAGCACATGGACACTGGTGGGATCAGAATGAACGTCACTTGCATCAGCAATGGCAGCATTGTGGTGGAGTTTGATCTGCTGATAACGGTGGCCGTGGATGTCAAGGAGGTGTCAGCCACATTCCTTGATGCCCTGGGGAACATGTCTCAGCTGGAGGTGGTCAGGAGCGACACTTTCATATGGGGTAGGCAGAGGTGGGGTGTCAGTGACCTCCCCTGATTTCTGGGCAAGAGCCCTGCTGTGACCTTTGGGCTCTTGGGTCCCTTCCAGGATTTTCTTGGAATTCCCTGGAAGATGCAGATTTTATGGGATGCCCCATGTCTCTCTTATTGTACCATGATTGTATCTAAGGTTTAAGAATTGAAGCATCTTCAGCCGAATCGGCAAAGATTCTCAGGGTCACTGCCACCATTTGGGGCTGATCTGTCCCTTCCCTGTCCTGATGCAGTGGCTGAGGCAGATTTGTCCCTCTAAGCAGCAAGTCCCTCTCTTTTCTCCCTCTAAGAAAAGAAAGGGAGAAAAGGGTGACTCAGATTCTTTTCCTCTATTGTACAAAGTGTGGTTGAGCAATGTGGTTCATTTTTATATTTAAAAAATTATTACAGTAAAAGACACATTGCCATGAATCCCCCCACAAATCCTCCTCTTTGCTTCAGATGCACACATCCCATCATCCTTTGCCACTTTCTGCAGCAACTCTGAAGCCTCTTTTCTGAGCATCTTTACTTACATTTTGCTGGGAAGATAGCTCACTGGCATAAGCACCTTCCAGGCATGTATAAGGCCCTGAGTTCAATTGCTAATACCCCCCCCCAAAAGTATAACTTTTTACCTGGTTGTCTCAATGTCCTGAATGGATTCAAAACATCTCCTTTAATGGTCATTTTCACTTTGGAGAAGAGCTGGAAGCCAGATAGGGCCAGATTCAGTGAATAAATGGATGAGGACGTAGTGCTGTTTTTATGAACAGCCTTTCTGTTGGTGGCACCGGCAGCAGCAGTCACTGTATTTTCAATCACATCTCAGAAAAACACTCAGGAAAGAGGACTCCAGAGCTGCTGCAGAAAGTGGTCAGGGCAGTGGGATGAGTGCTCAAGACAAAGGGGAAGATTTTTGAAGGCAATTAATGTAAGAATGTACTGTAATAAATGTTTAGTTTTGATCACCCTTGTACTTGAAAATAAATGATAAGACTTACAATGATATACATAAAATTAAAACTTTTAAAATTGCAAGGTAAAATTTTCTAAGTTTGGGAATGAGAACAATTTCCTGAGGATAATCAGATTTTCAAAGGAAAAGGCCAAAATACTTGACTACACAAAAATATAAATGTTTGCTGGTTGTGGTGGTGCATGCCTGTACTCCTGGCACTGGGGAAGCTGAGGCAGGATGGCTGTGAGTTGAAGGAGCTCAAGGCCATGTCTCAAAAACAAAACAAACAAATACAAAACAAGTTTTGGGGCTGGGGAGATAGCTCAGTGGAATAAGTGCTTGCCTGGCAAGTGCAAGGTCCTGAGTTTGATCCCTGGTACCAAAAAAAAAAAAAAAAAAAACAAAAAAAAAACAAAACAAAAAAATCCCAAGTTTTTAATGTCAAGCAAAATAAAGCCACCTTTTATAAAGCAAAAAACTACTTTCAAAAAACTGATGACTATCCTAAATTCATACAATGATCACACAAATAGATGATAAATACTGAGAACCTCATAAGTGCACAAAACATTCAAGAAGTTGATACACAGAAGAGAAAAACAGATTGCCACAAAGATGGGACCAGCAAAGACATTCCCCATACAATAACGGGATCTTTTGAAGTAAAAGTCTTTTGGGGGAAATGGCTCCGTCCCGTGAGCGTGGAGGGCAGGCGCTCAGGGTCTGCCGCTGGAGTAGAGTCTGCTCAGCTTCCCTGGAACCAGCTCAGCCATCGATGTTCAGACATGGCGAGTGTCCACCCCCAGCGGCATTGGGAGACAGCTTCTGGGACTTCATCCTGAGAAGCAGGCCTTGCTCTGGATGCCAGCATGTGCAAAGATATTTATCTTCTGCATTACCACTTTTAAAGCAAAAGAACTGGAAATAACCAAGAGTGCTGGGGTAGGAAACACCTTGGGTGATGGCCATAGCATGGGCGAGTGTAGATTCTGGAAAAAGATGTTGATTGAGATAGAAGGGACTCCTAAGACAGTAAGGAAAGAAGCAGTGTGCTTAGTTCCAGAGGAGTCTGGTTGATCAATGATTGATAACTGATTGGTATGAGGGATGAGACCCAGGGCCTCCTAAGTAGCCTGGAAGGACATCAGGACTAGAAGTGGGCAGAAGGGCCTGCGGTGCTGAGTCCTGCCCCAGGCCAGCTCCTCCCTGCAGACCCTGCAAGAGCCGCACTCCAGCAGAGGGTTCGGCAGGGCCTCCCTGGAGGTGGTGTGCTCATGGGTGTGGGCCAGGCCAGGGCAGCTCCTGTCGCCACAGCCCCGGGACACCTCTTATTCTGTTCCCTAATGCCTCATAGATTATGATGAGTGTGAAAAGAAAGAGGATGACTGTGTGCCAGGGACCTCCTGCCGCAACACTCTGGGCTCTTTCACCTGCAGCTGTGAGGGCAGAGCCCCTGACTCCCAAGTGGAATATTCTGGAAGAGCCTGTGCAGGTAAGTCTCCTAATCCTGGAGGGGGTGTCTTGGAGCTAGTCATATTTTTGTTATTGCTGTTGAGATAGGCTCTCACTCTGTAATCCAGGCCTGCCTTTAAACTCCCTCTGTGGCCCAGGCTGGCCTCAAACACATGGTGAGTCTTCCTGCCTCAGCCTCCCGAGTGCTGGGATGATAGGAGTGTACCACCACGCCCGACTTGGAGCTGGTCTCGAGGGTGGCATGGTGTGCAGGGCATGCCAGGAGTTTGGGTGAGAACACAGCTGGTGAGGATGGGCAGCCTGAGCAGGCTGACTTGGGGAGTCTTTGGGAGAAGATGGAGAGAGCTGAAGTGGACTGCCTGGAGCAGGAGCAGCAGAGGCAGGAAGGGGGTGGGGTGATGCGTGGCACCACACAGGATGGAGCCCAGGATTTTCTGGGCAAGGCTGCAGCATAAGGCTCCAGCTGGGGGCCCATGTTAAAGATGAGCCTCTGAGCATGGGTCTGCCCCAGGCAGGGCAGCCGGGCAGGTGCAGCAGGCACATGTGTGTGGCTCAGCTGCGATGTAGCTGCCGTGGGAACAACATGGGTCCAGCACAGACGCTCATTCGTGCCTCTGTTGCCTCTACCCTCAGATGGCTCTCCTGAGAGCTCCACTCCAGCCTCCAGCCCAGAGCAGCACTCAGCCCTCACAGGAACCTCGACCACCCTCCTGCTGGGCACCCGTCCTGAGCCCCAGGGCCCGCCACCGCGGCTGAATCTGACTGGTGCAGTCAGGGTGCTTTGCGAGATCGAGCGAGTGGGCATCGCCATCCAGAAGCGCTTCCTGCAGCAAGAGGCCATCCCCGAGTCTTCCCTGTATCTAGGGCAGCCCTCCTGCAATGCCAGCCTCAGCAATGGCTCCCACGTGCTCCTGGCAGCTGGCTGGGGCGAGTGCGGGACCCTTGTGCAGAGTGTAAGGCGGGACACGGGGCACACTCCCAGGTGCAGTGGTCATGAGCCACAGGGGAACCAGGGGAACCAGGGAACCAGGGGAACCAGCCAAACCTCAGATACCAAGCAGGTACCCAGCCAAGGGTATCAAGTAGCCCCAAGTTCTCAGCCTGCAGCCTGGGTCAGGAGGGAGTTGCCAGCCCCCAGTCCTCCAGAGTTCTGGGAAAATGCCCTGAGGTGGCCAGAGTCAGCTTGCAAGGGAAGAATGAAAAATGTGTGGGAAGAGCAGGAATTCCAGGACTCCCATGGGACTGCCATGGTGCACAAGCATGCGTGGAAGTGAGTGTGAGTCCCCATATCAGAACACATGTGTGCTTATGTGTGTGTATGCGAATGTGTGGTGCAGGTATAGGTATGTGTATCATGTACATGAAAGTGTGTGTGTGCTAGCTTTCCTTCACTGTAACAAAATATCTGAGCTAAATCAGCTTAAGGTAAGAAGGGTGTTTTTATGGATTTAGTACAGGGTCTACAGGGTCTCACTACACAGATTGGAGCCTCCCAAGCACTGGGATTACAGGTCGTGCCACTACACCCAGTCTCAGCGTGCCCTGGGGGCGGAGCTGGCATGGCATGCCAGGGATCTAACTGTGGTCCCTATGCCTGCCTAAGCAGGTGCTTTAGTCTGCTGATCTATCTGGCCAGTCCTAAGAAGTTTTTTTGAGACAGTGTCTCACTATGCAGTCCAAGCTGGTTGGAACTCTCAGCGATCCACTTGGCCCTGCCTCCCAAGTGCTGGAATGAAGTGTGTGCCACCACACCCAGCTGGAAAGAGAGGTACATTTTCCCTCCTGGTCTCAGGGGTCTCCCAGGTTGCCCAGCCTGTGGCATATGAGCCTCAGAGGAGCCTTCAGAGGCAGACCAGTGAGATCTGTGGGTGTGGGACACAGGAGTGCTTGTGAGAGTGTGTGTGAGTGTGCACAAGTGTGCAGTGCCTGTGTATGTTCCTGCAGGGGTCTGAGTGCATTTGTGAGTGTGACTTCAAGGGGGCATTGTGTGAATGTGCAAATCTGTGTCTACAGATGTACACATGTGAGCATAAGATGCACTGTATATGTGCAAATGCATGCAGGAGTGTAAGCATGAATGAGTAAATGCATGTATTACGTAGCTGCAGGTAGTGAGTGTACAGCTGAGTGTGTGAGTGAGAATATGAAAGTATGTGTATATATGAACGTGTGCAAATATGTGTATGAGTTAACATGAATGAGTGTGAAATTGCCTTTAGTGTGAGTGTGTATATATGATTTTCCATATGTGGGTATAAATGTATGTGTGAGTCTAGGTGTGTGAATGTCTTGTTAATGAGTGCACGTGTGGGTGACTATGAGCATCAGGTAGTCTGTGGGGTCCTGGCAGGGGCTGTACCCACTGGTGGGCACAGGATCCACTTTCAGGGACACTGAGGGCAGAGGCTGTACCAGGAGCCGGGCTGAAGGGTTCAAGACAAGAGGTAACAGTCCTGGCCATGCACAGGGATGTGGAGGCCTGGGCTTTGTCCCCAGGTACTTTGGAGCCCCAAGGCCCCAGGCAGGTCACTGTTCCATAGGCCTATGAGCTCCGGTTCCCAACCCCCAGGCCAGCATGTGAGCCATATCTAGCTGTGACCAGCTGCTGCTGGGTTCTTGGGCCAGAGCTGCTGCAGCCTGGGGTTTGTAGAACATATGCTAGGGTGCTAAAAGCAGGGGGGCCTGGGGAGCACACCTGTCATCCCAGCACCGTGGGAGGCTGAGGCAGTAACATCCCAAGTTTGAGCCCTGTCTCAAAATAAAAAATAAAAAATGGCTGGTTATGTAGCTCAGTGTGAAGAGACTGGGTTCAAAATGCACAGTACTGAATTATTTTAAGAGCTAAAAGGCAGGTGCCCCCTTGCTATGTTAAGGTACTGCCCATGTACACTGGGCTGCTCCCCAGGAGCCTGTGCCCCCACAGGACAGTGTGGAAGGCTGCACACAGAGGCCTGTGGGCCAGCTCTGTGCTCCCCGTTCCCTGAGCCAGCAGACACCTGCTCCAACAACGAGCCCAGAAGAGTTTAGGGCAGCAGAGAGGAAAGGAAATGTGACACTGTGTGTGGTCCGGGCCCAGGGCCTGCAGGAGCCATCAGCTCAAAGTGGATAGCCTGAGAGTCATTTGCAGGGTGGAGAGGGGCCCTGTGCTTGGCACACTCTGCCTCCTTCCCACCCACAGCAGGTGACTTCTGCAAAAGCCACAATGCATGCTGTCACTGGCTGTGCACGAGGCAGTGGTATCAGGGTTGCCATTAACACTGGAGGCTGAGCTTGTGCAAAGGCCCCCAAGCTGGAGCCTTTGCCCACAGCTCACTCAGTGCTCCACCTGTGCCCAGAACAAGACCAGTACTGTGGTGAAGACGGTCCTGAGGAATGACAGGTTCCCAGATGGCGTCATCCACCACCGGACGATCCAGAGCCCCATTCGCTGTGTCTTCCGGAACGACCTGCTGACATCCCTGGGCTACACCCCAAAGTGGGGGTGAGTAGGGAGATGATGCTCCTGCCCTCCACAGCTGGGCGCCTTTGTGTGGGGGTGGGCCTTCAGGGCTCAGGCAGACCATCCTTGGAGTCCATACAAATGGACACGATGAAAACTTAAAGAGTAGCCCCTAGCTTCTCTAAGTTTTGTCCCAGACTTGTTTAGGATGAGGCCCAGCGCCCTCTCCACTCAGCTCCCCTAGGTACAGTACAGTAGCCAGCTCTGCTTTGCAAGCAGTGCCCAGTGCTCTCATCAGAGGGGTCCTCGCTGATTTCCATGCTCCTTGGGAGTTGCTTTCAGAGGGAGGACTGACTGGGACCTGAGGTCTGCAGAAATGAACCCTCTGACCGCCACTCCTCCGCAGGGTTTACACCGTCACAGAAGACCTACATGGTGCTGGAAAGTTTGTCACAGAAATGCAGTTGTTTATCGGAGATTCTCCCATACCTCAGAATTACAGTGTGTCTGCCAATGACGACATCAAGATCCAAGTGGGGCTGGACGGGCAGAAGAGCAGCCTCAAGGTGGTGCTAACAGAATGCTGGGCAACACCCTCCAGTGATGCCTGGGACCCTGTCACCTTTGGGTTCATCAACAACAGGTGGGCTTGGTGGGGGCTGGGCTGGCAGTCCCCTGGCACCATGACAGGGTCTTGGACCTGGGGCCCTGATTGCCATGTTTCCTCCCGCAGCTGCCCGGTCCCCAACACCTACACCAGCGTGATCCAGAATGGTGACTCCAGCAAGGCTCAGTTTAAGCTGAGAATCTTCTCCTTCATCAACAACTCCATCGTCTACCTGCACTGCAAGCTGCGGGTCTGCATGGAATCCCCCGGCACTACGTGCAAAATTGTGAGTGTCAGCGCTCCCTGGGCGAGAGGAAGTTGCTGTCCCTAAAAACCAGGGCCAGACAAACTTGGCACCAGAAGTGTTGCTGGGCAGGAGGCGGCTGGGTGAAGCCTGGAGAGCTGGTGGGCATTTCCAACTTGCCAGGGCCTGGGCCTAGTGTTTGTGAGGCTGCAGTCACTGCCTGGTCACCTACTATGAAGCGGCTCCCGACAGTCACTGACAGGATGCCTGGATATTTTAGCTTCCTGTCATTCTACCAACATTAAGGGACCATCAGTAAATAGCCTGGATGATAGCTTTCCCCTCCCTGTGCTCCATGCATGTGCAATGGCCATGGGAAAGTTTGCCATTTTGCAGTCTTTTCTCCCCAGACATCTGTGTTTAAAGGTTTAAAAACTGCTCTGTGTGCCGAGGCAAGTGTACAAGGTGACCGTGTGCCTGGTCACCAAGGCAGGGACCAGTTGGAGAGCTCCACTGGGCTCCGTCAATCTGACCATGGCACAGGTCAAGTGCTGTATTAGATCTAGGGCTGCTGTGATACAGACTGGGCAGCAGCTGCAGAGACTGGCTCACAGATTGGAGACTCCAAGGTCAACCTGCTGGTGTGCCGTTTCCTTCCAAGACTGGGCCTCAGCCTCTCCCAGCTCCATCCTGGCTTGGAGATGTTTCCTCTGTGCCTTCACATCACCTTCTCTCTGTATACACCAGTCTCTTTGGGTCCAGATTCCCCTTTTTACAAGGACCTTAGCCACACAGGATTAGAGCCTACCCAAGTGGGCTTGCCTAACTTGGTTACCTTCCCAAGTATAAGCACAACTACAGCTATGGGGTTAGGATGGAACATCTCTCTGAAGGAACCATGGCAGCCCATCACAAGGACATAGTGGGCAGTGCCACAGAGGTGGGGGGCCTTTTTGTAAGGCAGAAGCAACAGGAGTTGCATGTGGCCACAGTGGTCTTCGGAAAAGCCGTGGCTGAGACATGGTCTCCAGGCAGGGAATAAAGGGCCAGCAGCCATCACACATTCGGTGTGCCACTCCCTCGCTATGCCGCCCAGGTGCCCCATGCTCCTCCCCCATCATGACACCTGAGCACAGAACAGCCTGACCCAACTGGATACCACCCCAACAGTGAGCTCATCCCCCTACAAGTTGGGCAACCAGCTTCAAATGTCCCTCCTTCCAAACCAACCCACAGAACTGCAATGATTTTCGGTTTTTGAGAAGCACCGAAGGCTCCAAGGTGCTGGAGATCTCCTGGGGGCCTCTCCTTCGTGCGGCAGGTGAGTCCACATCTGTGGTTCAGGCAGAAAAGAGAGTCCGTTCACATGTGCAAACCAAGCAATTGCTTTGAAACGTGGAGTCTGAGGTTTCCCTAAAAGACTCATGATAGTAGAAAGAACAGAAACATAGTGTGACAGCCAGGATCATCTAGTAGAGTGCTGAGCTCCTGATATGGCATAGAATTTATCCTGGCCAGCCCAGAAAGTGGGTCTGATATGGTCCCTGTGCTGCTGAGGGCAAGCTCGGGCTGAAAGCCAGGCAAGGTTGAGCACCTGGAAGTCTACAGCGGAGCCACATGACCAGAGATGCTTCAGTTCCCAAGTAACAACACACATGGGCATGCAGAGGGGCAGCCAGGGCTGTGCACAGGGGTTGCATTCTGTGTGTGTGCAAGTGGGTGAATGCCCAAGGGTGCATGCATGCTGAAAAGCTGTTTCACTTAGAAGATGCAGAAGAAGGAATTTCTGTTTTATCTGGGTGCAAAATTTCCATCAACCAATTACCTCCCATGTTCTTTTTAATGTAATCTCTCTGATGTTTTAAAAAAAATGGTTTGGGGGATTTGTGTGCTTTGGGTGCTAAGAGATTTCTAGACATTCCCTTGTTTCTGTCTCCTCTCCTTTTAAAATCCTTGGGCTTCAGCTTCCAGAGGTAATAACGGATTCCCAACCCACAGGGCAACCCAGTGCAGCCCAGGCTATCAGTTCTGGCCAGTGAGAACATTGGGGTGGTGTGGCCACTTGAGGGCACCCCCTTCTGGCCACCTGGAGCTCTCCCTGACCCCTCATTCCTCCCATGCTCCCTGTTCTTCAGCCCAGTGTCAGAGCAGGTGTTCCACAACCATTGGGCACCCTGAGCACCCCAGGGCATGGGTGACCGCCAGGGGCTGGGTCCAAGGATACCATGGTCCAGAGCTGGGCTCTACCCCAATTTCTATGTTGGAAACAAATGTCTCTTTGCTTTAAGCCACTGCTGTTTTGGTCTCCTCTTGCTGTGGAGCTGGTCTTGGCTAGTTTTCTTTTATCAGTGTTTTCTTGCTCTGCCTCACTGACACTCGGCCCGTTCTCTGAGCTGCTTAGGTGGCTACACCCTGTGTCTGGCTGCCCACAAGGACGTGAGGGCACAGCATGGCCAGTGTTTCCCAGTGGCTGGTTCTCAACCAAATCATTTGGGAAGTGAATAAAACAGGCACAGGTGCTCGCCCATACCCACGTGCAGAATCTCTAGAGTTGTGGGGGCCTCAGGCCATAGCTGGCTTTGTTCCTGGACAAAACACTTTCTTCTTCTAATTTTCTTAAATTTCCAGGGAGGCCCGGTCAGGCTGGATAAGAAAGAGTACAGGTCCTCACCTGCAGGAACCAAGCCCTGTACTCGCATATAGATGTCTCGAGGATGTCTTACCCAGAGTGGGAAGCCCTGGGTTGGAGTTAGGACACAGGGCTGTGCAGCTCACTGCCTCTGTCACCCCTCAGGTGGGTCTGAAGATACGCTTCTGAGTGTAAAGCCACACCTGTCCACCAGCTACGTGGTCCTCATCACAGGCGCCACCTTGGCTGTGGTGGCAGGGGCTGTGACTCTTCTCATCCTACGCTACCAGAAAACCACCGGGAAGTACAACTTCAGGATGCAGCCGGATAGCTTTGGCTACGAGGCCTTCTCTGGATAGAAGTCCCAGCCATGAAGGTGGGTGAACGGGAGGTCTGCTGCCAGGCTCGTTATCACCCAGGGTTGGCAGGGCAGTTTGGCAAAGGACAAGTCTGTCCATCGTTGCATGTCCCCAACAGGAGAGGCATCCTCCCCCTGAAAGTGTGAACCCTGATTCCCCAAGGGACACCAATGGCCCGCAGATCAGCCTTGAGTGTGAATGATCCTGGAGTTCCTGGTCAGATCCTGAAATCTCCTGTCTCAGACACTGTGCTGTCCCTGGGGTGACTGCTTGCTTGCCCTGACACAAATGATTTAAACACTCAAGTGCTTTTGTGTCTGTCATGTACTCTTGAGGGCAAGGTCCCTGATGCTGCCTACTCCAGGGGGCAGCATTCACATGTAGCCCACGCCATACATAGCCCATGCTACACGTAGCCCACACACCTCTGCTTTGCACTTTACTCAAATGACTCGTGACAAAGAGTGCAGTGGAAATTCTGGGTGAATCTTTGTTGCTCTGCATTGTTTCAGGACAGTGAACAACAACAACCATAAAAATGTACCTGTTCAGCACAGATGTACTTTTTAAAGACTATTTTCCCTCTACACTTACTGGAGTCCAGTGGGCATGGAGTGCCCATTCTGTGCCTGTCTCAGTTGTTTCGCTTGTTGCTGGAAAAAATAGCTGACTCCCACAAGTTACAGCAGGAATTTTTTTGGCTCACAGTCTGTGGAGGGTTCAGTCCATGGTCAGCTGGCTCTAAGGCAGGGCAGTGTGGCAGAGGGCCTGGTGGAGGAGAGCTGCCCAGGGCACAATAGATGGGAAAGGAGGCGCAGGAGGCAGATGCACCCTTGCAGGCTCCACCTCCCAACATCACCTTCAGCACCAATCACTGATGAGTATCGCACCCACTGATCCAGTCACCTCTCACAGCCCATCTCTGAGCACATGAGGCCTCGAGGGTGCTGTACCTCTAGATACGAACCTTAACGACAGCTTCTCTCTCCTGAGCAAACTGACCCAGGGGACCTTTTCCACACAGGTAACTGCGAATCAAGCTCAGATCTCAACTCATGAAGCATTAACAGTAGTCAATTCGTGCAGTGCTTTGTTCTGACACTCAGAAGAACCCAAGAAGGATGGCAGTGGTCTCCATCTGTCCTCAGGAGGCCACTGCCCAGTAGGTTCCAGACCAGCAGCACCCACCAGGAAGAGGGCAGGGCTGTTGGAGACGGAGGTAGAGTGCTGGGGCATCCTGGATCCTTCGGGCCAGCACAAACGCAGCTCCTCTCACCCAAGCCACCTGCACTGTCATCAGACCCTCACCCTCCAGTGCTGCGCTCACTGACAGCCAGCACGCAACACACTCATCAGTTATGCAATATTTCATGTTTTATAAGGCTATTTGACAATGGCTGTGAAGCTCTCTTACAAATAAGCCTGCCTTGTAAAGCCATCATTGCTAATGTTATTTCTAGGAGCCGTATAAAAACAAAGAATCAATTGACCATGTAACTAAAATGTCCAAAGGTACCATGGTCTACAGGAAAGGATTGATGCAGAAAGGTCAGTGTGACCAAGTCATTGTTTTACTCTGTGTTGCTAGCTTGTTTTTATTTAAACAACAGCAACATCAAGGACAGAAGCACAAAGGACCTATATAAAAATTTTTCTAATAAGTGAAAGTGCTGTGATATATAGGTACAACCTTCTTATCTTCAAGCATGTTCACAGCCAGGTTTTCATATCTCTGGGGAAAATGAACCTCATACTTAAGGTCGTGAATGACTGAACAAGGAAATGGATCTAGATATAACTGTTTGAGTCTGGAATTTTTTCCCCATTGCACCGTACTAAGAGATACTGCTTTTTACTTTATTTGAAGCTAATTAAAATTGATTAGAGAGCTAATACCTTAAAGTGTAGCATTGTCCCTTGATGAACTTAGAATCTCAACAGGATGTTAGTTTTTAATTCATAGTATTTGTTCTGTTGCATGTAGTTAACTGTCACTCAGACAGACTATTTGGGAAAAGGGCATTTGGATTTACTAGATATTCTCAAAGTATGAATGACAAAATGTGATATGTGTGGATAACAGATTTGGAGCAAATGAATAAATTGAAGGTGACATTGAAAGGTGACCGGCTGTTCATTGTTCAATTCACACCACAGGCACCTAGGGCATCTGCCATGGGCCAGTGCCATGCCAGGCACCAGCGGGCAGTGGGAAGATGCTCTAGTCCTTGCTGAGCCACGCCCTGTCCCGACATCATTCAGTGCCTGCTGCTGAGCAAGGGTGACTCAGTGCTGTGAGTGTTCAGTAAGCCCAGGGAGAGTCCTACAGCTCAGTGACCCCTGGGTTTCAGAGAAAGTAGATGGGTTGGGTTTTAAGCCAAATCTTTCAAACTTCATCTCAATAAATGGGCTGTTAGGGCCGGGGGAGATGGCTCAGTAGAATAAGCGCTTCCCTGGCAAGTGCAAGGGTCTGAGTTCAAGCCCCAGTTCTGTAAATCAATCAATCAATCAATCAATCAATCAATAAATAAATGGGCTGCACCCATTTGTGTTTCATGTAACACTGGATGCTTGGTGTCCTCTCTTTTTCCCACCTCCACCCTTGGCTCCTTCTGGTGGAACTTCCCGAGCAGCTGCATGCCTTTCTTTGTCTGCTCGTCCAGTCCCCAGAGGTCTGCACACTCAGACGCATCCTGTGGCCCTGAGCTGTGTGAATCTGGACCACAAGGAGTGGCTCAATGGCTCACTATGGTACAGAGGGTCCTTGGTCCTTGTCTTAGTCCAGGAAGTTTAGATTTGTTATCCCATGGATAAGTTCATGGAATCCCATCAAGATAATTTTAATCTACCACTCACAGTGCAACCCATGGTGAGAATAAAGACACTAAAGCATATTTATAGTTATGGTGAGCCAAGGGGTCCTAAGTCCAGCCATGGTGATGGCTATCTGGAACAAAGGCCTCAACCCGGGGCTGAACCTGGGTTTTATTCAGTCATGAAGGAGGCGTGGCTTGAGGATGAATGACTGAGAAGTGCAGGAAGTAGGTGAGTGCTGTGAGCTGGGCTAGGTAGGGGGGCCTGCATTTACCTCTGCGATATGTAGACAGGATATGCAGGGAGTAATCTGCATTACACAACTGAGATGGTATCTCATGTTTTGGGGTCTGGTGCTTCAGCTCTGATGTGTAATCTTCCAAGCCCCAGGAAGTCATAGCCTCTATCTCGAGGCTCAATCCCAGCCGACTGCACACACTGGCTCTTCATCCTGTCTCAATCCGGCTCACATTAAAGAGCAGCAGGTGGGGGTTACCAAGGAAACACGCATGCCATCTTCAAAGACTACCACCAGCACCTCGGCTAGACCAATATGCGCTGCTTCAATGCAACTGAAGGGATAAGCAAAGTCCTAGCCAGCTCTGTACCTATCAATACATGGAAATAGGGTCAGGCACAGCCAAAATGGAGACAATTGCTCTTCTTTCAAGGAGAGTCGCCCAGGTGGTCCTCCACACTATGATGGGAGGCCTTATGGGGCCTCTGATGGAGGATCTTATGGAGGGTCTGGTGGAGGAGGGTCTGATAGAGAATCTGACAGAAGAGGCTTTGTTGGACTTGAAGATCCGTTGCTGCTGCAGCTTTCTCCAAACCCTCTGTCACAGATTGCATCTCTCCATATAACCACTAGATGGCGGACAAAGCCAAGCCTGTGCTAGACTACGCAGGCCCTGTGAGTCCACAGCAACCACAGGCCTGGCCTCCACCTCCTTTGCTCTTTTTCTGGGACTTCAGCCTCCCGCCCACAGCTTGAGGGGGGTTAGATCTGTAATTATGTCCTCGTGGGGCTACACTGCTGGAGGGAAAGGCTCCTAGGAGGTCTTGTCCCAGCTCAGGAAGGGGAACTATCTCTTGAGGGCCCCTGGGCTGCATCCTGGGAGATGAGCTGGTGATGCGCGCCCAGCAGCTGTAGCATGGATCTGCTTCTGTGAGCATCTCCAAGGGAGATGCACCTTCTCCTCCTACCATTTCTAGGAGGACGAGGTGACTGGTATTTTCCAGCTCTCTGTCTCGGCAGGACACACACAGGGGCCACTGCAGCCCCAGTCACGCTGTGCCTGAGCAGAGAGCACAGGACCTACCCAGCAGGGTGCGGCCCCCAGAGCCTGACCAGACCTAAGAGCCTTCACGGGGACCAGGCAGGGCAGGGTCTCCACCTGCCGTGCCTGCCTGGGAAACAGTTGCAAACCCACAGTAGACAAGGAAGAGAAAGAATAACTAAAACATAATTAATATGCAGATTTCCAATAGGAAACCACCCCAGTCACCGACAACATACAGGTCCCCATGCTCAGGACCTGAGTCCACAGCCCCACGGTTGGGGACCCATGCATCCTGCCTGTTTCAACAGAGGCAGGTGTGAGAGGGCCGCACCCCCACCCAGCTGACAGGCTGAGTCTGACGGACCCCAGGGAGGCATCAGGAAAGGCAGGAAACCACTGCACCTGGGAAGAGAAGCCAGGCACAGCCCGCACTGGCCCTAGGGTCCCTGTGGGTTTGTGCCCGGAGAAGCCCCTACCCAAAACTCTGTGATGCACCCAGGTCCAACACTTCCTGTAATCTTTTCTTTGTACTGGGAATTAAGCTCTGTGCTATATTCCAGTCATTTTACTTTCAACTGAATCTCATGACATAAATTACCCAGGCTAGTCTTGAACTTGGAATCTCCTCTCAGCCTCCCAGAGTGCTGGGACGATAACTATGCCCTACCATACCTGGCTCAAGATCCAAAAAATTTTTGGAGTGCCAACATGACACTTCATGTGGAAAATCACAGATCTGACTTCCTATGATAGCTCACAGCAGGTGCTGTATCAATGATCTCCGGCTCCACGCAGAAGGTGATTGCTGATACATGCGAGACTTGTGTGCAGACCTGGTCCTATTCCCGCTTATCTCATTACGCAGATGCACATATTCCAATCTGAGAAAACCCAAGATCCAAAAGCTCTTCCGGCCCCAAGCATTTGAGATGAGGGCTACTCCATGGGAGCAATGTTTTACAGAAATTATTCTAGAATTCTTGGCAGACCCAAGCTCTCATGGTTTCCTTCCTGCTACCCTTAATCCTCAAATGGAGACCAGAAGTCCCATGTCCCCAGTACTTGAGTGGAGGAAGAGGTAGGGGGATGTGGGGAGACCAGCACCCCTGCTGGTGCTCCCAGGGGTGGATAACCTGGGCCTCCCCTGGGAGCCCCATGGTGGTTGTGAGAACTGGGAACCAGGGCTTGAACTTGCAACCCTCCTGTCGCAGCCTCCCAGGCTGCTGGATTACAGGTGTGTACCACCATGCCCCACTAGAAGGCAGCCTTCTTGTGCCCATGGAGGCCATGCACAGGGAGCCCTGCATCATGGGGGTGGGGAGTGAAGGACTCTGGGTTCTGGAGGGCTAGGGGTGGGACTCTGAACTGGACTTGGGACACCAAGTATGGCTTTCTGGTCTTGTTCATCTGCACAGTGGGACAAACCAGGGCAAGGTGCAGGGGCACTCTTTATAGGACTCTGGCACATCACCACTGACCCCAAACCTTCCGAAGTGCAGCCCTTGGAGGTGAGGGAAGGGTGTCCTGCAGATTCTAGGACCAGCTTTTGTGTGTCCAGTTCTTATAAAGCTCCCCACCCCATCAAGCTGAGCAAGACTGGAATCTTCTGTGCAGAGCAGATCGCGAAATCCAGGTGGACTCTAAAGAGTTTGGGTGACAGGTGTGCATGGGTCTCACTGACTGCAGCATACAGGCAGGTCTCTTCAGCAGATGCAGTGGGAGCCACCTCTAGAGGGCGCCATACACAAGCCCAGGCACTGTGCTCAGAATCATCATGGTGGACTTTTATCATTCAAAGTAAATAAAGAGCTGGCAAGATAGCTCAGTGGACTAAGAGCCTGCTTTGGCAAGCTCAGGGAAAGGGCTTGATTCCGAAGTCCTGCATGCCACCCTGGCCCTGCCCCCTGGGGACCCTGAGCCTGTGACCAAGTCTGGGCATGATGGCACATGCTTATAATCTCAGCATTTGGGGAGGCTGAAAACAGGAAGATCGCTATGAATCTGGGCTGCACAGTGAGACCTTGTATCCAATTAAAGCCAGAAGGTCGTTAGGGGTCCTTATGCATGATTGCCTGAGGGTAACTGCCACAGAAGACTGCTGGAGTCAGGAGCCTTCAGAGGCCAAAGCAATCTATACAAGGTTGTCTACCCTACAGCTGCCTGCCCAGCCTTGGCCTCACGCCACTCTTATATTGATCCTTGTGGCCAAGGATGATTGTTTCAGAAGATCTGGTGCAGTCTTCTACATGTGGCCTTTAAAAATGACCTGTGCCTTGACCCTCTTGAGCATGCTCCTTGTTTGCTGCACTCCCCTTGCAATGGGAAGAAGAGCAGGACTCAGCCTGGGCTCAGGGGAGAGGTGGAAGTCAGCTCAGGGGTCTCGAGGAGTCAGGAATAGGGGCCAGCGCAGTTTGAGAGGACACAGATGCTCCAGGCCCAAAGTATGTCTAGTGTTGGCCACCACAGGGGTCCCTACTAGCAGCTGCTCTGCTTGGCCAGGTCTCCCCTGCTGAATTCTGATCCCACCAATTGGTTCCCTAAGCTTTTGGTCCATTTTGAGGATGGGTGATGAAGACTTCTCTCCCCAGCTCCTCACTAGGGACATGCAGGCTCCTGGTCCTGTTTCCCTAGATCTGCCTGGTTGTCCCTTACACTGGGCAGGAGGCAGCCAAAGAGGTTGGCTCTGAGTGAGGAGAGGCGGTCCCAGGAAGAGTGAGAGCCCCGGCCTCCATGGGCACCTCCTTTGGCCAACTCTACCTGCAGTATGCACCACTGCAGCAGGGACCAGAGGGAGGAAGAGGAAGCCCTCCAGGTGCAGCAGGTTCTGGCGGCTATGAAAGACCAGTCTTGGCCTTTGATCCTTGTCTTCAACTCTCTCGGGAGCTGTTGGCAGGGACGGATGCCCATGCCCCTGGCCTGGCTCTGGGCCCCTATAGCAGCTGTACCTGCCCTCTTCCCCTCTTTCCTGTTGACCGGCCAGGCACCTGGAGGCTCCTTCTGCATTTGTGCCCTGAGTGTCGGGGGCAGCTCGCCTTGAGGTCCTCCCAGAACTCTCAGCTTCCCACGGCCTGGGAAGGA